TGTGGTGGTTATTCCTTGATATCCCGGAGTCCTTACCCATTTCATTGTTTTTAATCATATAGAATGTAGAAAGCAGATACAGTAGTTGCATATTTTGATATTGTTTATGAGTCTTATGCATCTCATGTAGTGAAGCATGCTCCTGAATCCTGAACAACGATCCACTTGAAGTTCTGCCTTTCGTGGGAAAGTCGCTTGGAACACATGGGTGCGAAAGGTTCTTCAGTGAGTGCTTCAGTGAGTGCGCCAAAGGAATTCAGAGCGCTTCAGAGTCTTCTCAGACATCAGATGCTCACCCAAGATAACCGTCTGATGATATATGACATGTGAGACCCAGATGAGTTCGAAGTTTAGCGCGTTTTTCAATGGGTATCCCCAGGTGATCAACAACAAGGCACCAAAAAACAGGTAGCTTCAAGACACGCAAACAGCACCGAGCACACGAGAAACGCCAAAAACGAGGCCCAAAAACCACGTTTCAGGTCGGAGCGCCCCAACCGGAGTTGGGGAGGGAAGGGAGCAACGAAGTGAGCAGCGAGGTGTCAACACCAGCATATCAGGGGCTGAACATGTTTTTCTTTTTAACTATCTCTCTCTCTCTCTCTCTGTGTTTGTGTCACAACAATCCACTGATTTCTGAGATTCCCAAGGAAAACATCTTGTGTTCTATGTTGAAGGCGTGGGGGGAACTTCTGCATATACGACTTCGATCCACCTCTTGCACTTTTGGGACCTTTCTGGCATATGTTCAGATTGATTCAGCTTCTTTGTGAAGTGGCTTTCGAGTTTGTTGGACCTATATTCTATATTCTATATATAGACCTGTGAATATCCCAAGGTGACCGCAAACAGGGCTGTTGGATTTGGCTTCTAGACCCTTTCACATAGTTGTTGAAGTTGGAAGCACCCACAAGCTGATCTAGCCGTAACCAATCTGTCTGAGTTTGCCTTTGAATCTCTGATATAGTGTGTTGTGGTCCAAGTAAGCATGTAGATCCCCATTCTACATGTGAAATCATGTGATTTTTCCGCATGCTCCGAGTTTTGGACTTTGATCTTGCGGTGGCCAACAGCATTGGGTCTTCTCGGCACGGTCGAATCTTGGAGCGGCAGTGTGTTTCTGTGATCTTCCTCAGGTCGTCGAAGTGCCTGGCAAAAGTGAGACCTACTTCATTGAGAGTATGGAGCTACTTGGCTTGACTTGAAATGACATGGGGCGGAAGGGGGTGATGCATGTCAAAGATTTGGATGTCGAGGATGAAGAGACGGCCAGAAACGAAGCTTCATCCAGAGGGAATTCCCTGTTTGTTCATCTCTCTTCAGATCTTAAGATGAGATGGGACTTGCAAACACTTACGTTAGGAAAACTCCTCTCATGCAAAGGTCCAATTGAAATACGTGGTATGTACAGTACTTGTTCTCTATACAACGCAAGACTCCTAAAGCTATTCATCCTTTTCATCCCAGGCAGCCTGGTTTTCTTTGGGGGTGAAACAGAACAGCAGCACCTGCTGAGCTCGGCCCTCACGTCCCGACGGTGCTTAGGCAATTCAACGACTTTCGCATGAAGGCAGGGCGCCGTGGTGGACCATGTGAACAGAGTGAGAAGGTGCTTGACTGGTTCCAGTGATGGTGTGGAAGGTCCACATCCGTGCGATTTCTGGTTTAAACATGTTCAGAAAAGACCAAAACCAACACATGTATCCACTAACCCCCTGTTTGGGGTGTCTAATTAGAACTCCTTAGAGGTTGAGGAGTATCCATGAACCACCCCTATCCGGGGGCCCTGGTGTGGGCACAGAAAGGGCTCTGTGGGCTCCACCGACTTTTGAAACCCGGCTTTGTGGAGGCGTTGGTGTTCAATGGAGGCCATTAGACATGTGGAGGTCATTCCATGTCCTCTACGAAATATAGGTGAACATGTGAACATTGACATACATTGACCCCTGAAACCACTTTAATGCAGATAAATTTTACATACATGGATTGTCTGGGATGGGTTTACATCGGATCCCAGCATTTGGAATCCCTGACCAATGACCCAATGCCCGCCGATTTCGACCTTCCAAGGGGGCGTTCACTGGAACGAGTGTCTCTTCCCAACGAGTGTCTCTTCGGATCCAACGGTGGATTTGGATGGGTCACGAAGAAGGAACCAGGCTCTCATTTTGGGGGATTGATTCATGTGCGTTCGTCGGCTCCCGATTCAACCCCTTCATAACCCTGCATATGTCTGCTTTGGAGCCACTTTGTACATACATTGCCATGAATGAATCACCTAGCAGAAGCAACATAGTATTCCCTGAGAGTCAAAGACGCGGTCAGAATAGAGTACCTGATGTCGAGTACTTTACTTCACCGGGGCCAAGTATATTCTACAATGGAGGTCCATGAGGCTTGGCCCTGATTCAGTCGTTGTGCCTCTCTTGGCACTGCAGGTTTTAGAGGAGTCGGGCACTCGTGGCCTGCGTCTCAATCAACGCAGCTATGCCGCGGACACGCCCGGACACCGAGCGGATCAAAGCGATGCGAGCGAGCGGCGGGCTCGAGCTTCGGTGTTTCCATTTTACTTGGGAATGGATGGGTATGGTAATGTATGGTACAATGAATCATGAATTCATGTATATATGGACCCATGCACACCCAAGAAATGGCCACCGATCTTTAAAATCTTTGGACACTTGGTTTGAATGATCCACATGTGCTAAGCTCGTCAGATCTGAGAAGCATCTATATAGATATATCTAGATCAACTGCTTAGAGATCCACAAGGTGCGATCTGATTGCCAAGCTCTTCATTGCGGATCGATGCTATAGATCCACACGTGCTCCGCAGCGATCCGCAGCGCTCCGCAGCGATGGGAACCCTCCGACGTCGGGGGAACATCGCACCGACCCGTGGACCTGGTCGGGTCGGTCGGTCCGACAGGTCGGTCTGGTCGGTTCCCTTTTGTGTCGGGACCAAGGACCAAGGACGAGGAGCCGATCCATTTGGACTCCATTTGGGTGCTCCATTTGGACTCGTCGTGTTTTGGTACTCCATTTGGACTCTCGTCGTGTTTAGGATTCAACTTGAGACATGGCTGTCCTGTGTGTCGGTGTCCACTTCCTGACCTGTAGGGAAGGATTTCTCCAGGACTCTGTACCAGGACCGACCACTGAGATGGGTATGTAAGTATGTAACAGACGGGAGACCGAACCGGTCTAGGCATTCCGACCCCCTGGAAGGTTTGGGAAATAGACCAGTCTACCTAGCCAGAGGCGATCGGGTCTCCCAGATTTGAAATACACACCCATATCCAAAATCATATCCAAGGATATTTTTTTGGGAATGCCCTGCTGAGCTTGATGTCTTTTGGTACAGTCTTCCAGTACTGCTCAGCTGCTCCAGGCATTGGTACTCCAATGTGGGTGGGAGCATCGTGAAGATGGGTGACTCAGACATCCACATGCCCTTGAAGACCTCTGAGAAGAAGCACAAGGCCGTCATCCGAGGTTCTTCGTAACGTCGTCTCGTCAGGTCATTTCTGGTCACCGCATGGCTTGGCATGGTTTTGGGATTTGTGTGGTGTGCAACCACATCATGACGGAGGTCTCCGCAGTGTGTTGCGGTGGAAGAGTAGGAACCGATGAAAGAATCACGGCCGTGAATGACACTCAGAGCCCAGAGCCTTTAGATCCTTTCTGCTCCAACAGACTCCACTAAGGATGCAGAGGATGCTACTGTTGGCAGAAGAAAGGACTCCTACATTAGGTAAAACAGGAAAGGCCCACGAGTCTTCAGATGGATTTCTTCCACGAACACCTTCCGATGTGAAGCCTTTTTCCTTCCGGCGACTTTTGGGGAGCAAGATGATGATTGGATGGAGGGGAGTCACATTCAGCTCATCTTGCACGGCACTGCTATCACCACCATATCGTAAATCTCCCCAGGTGACAACAGATTAGATCCATCTTTCAAGATGGCAGCAAATCCGAAAAAAGGAAGTTGCTTGGACTTGTTTCGCCTTGGTGAGCTGATCTTGTACGGCGCTGCTGGTCTTGCCACCGTATTCTGGATGGTGGAACCCTCGCGCCGGGCACGGGCACGCGGAAGCACTTGCAGCACGGAAGCTGCACATGTTTCAGGTGATCTTGGACTGCACTGATTTCGTCACCAGAGATTGGATCACCCCAAGCACTTGCTGCCCCCCACCAGGCTCGACGCGGTCAGGCTCTATGCAACGCTACGAAGGCTGTGGCGACTGCAGTCCCTCTGCTGCACCGGACGCCCCAAGCCACAGAAGTGGACAGACCACCCGCATGGCAGCTCGCGAAACTGGACTTTGAATGACTGCTCCACAGAAGTCTTCAGCTCCACAAGAAAATACCTGTGAATTCTGGGAGATCCATCCATCCATCCATCCATCCATCCATCCATCCATCCATCCATCCATCCATCCATTTCTTGAGTCCAACATCAACAATGGTAAGGGGAGGGGGCACCTTTTTCTCAGCTGAATACATGCAATGGCTATAAGCAAGTTCAAGCTGCTGATGAAGCCTTTGCTGGCATTTTGGCAGATGGATAGTGACCTGGGGCGATCCGAAAGCTGGTGATGACAGCAGCGCCGTGCAAGATTTGTTTTTCTTACTTTGATGCTTGTTCTCTGCAAATCGGCCGGCCAGGAGCTGTGTGCGAAGCAACAATTGTTGCACTCAGGTTTGGTTGTTTCCTTGCAATTAGGCCAAGTATTTCTGCCAGATTCTTCCTGAAGAGAACTGAAGCCTTCCACCTCAAGAAACCACAAACCACACCCCCCTCAGCTGGTCCCTTGCCCAGTCCTTGCCCAGACCTGCGACCTGCGACCCGACCCGACCGTCGCGTCGCGTCTACCGTCGCGTCTACCAGGCCATCATTCCGGGCGCTGCCCTGGGCGCTCGGAAGAAGCTGCGCATGAACGAGCCTCTCATTGGGTCCGGACCCCGGACCACCCCGGCTTCGGGGAGGGCCGTCTGAACAGATGTGAAGGTGGCAGCCAATTGGTTTAATGGTTCGAAGGCTGAAGAACGGTTTTACTGAGGATTATGACAAAAGCAGCTCAACCGTCTGTAAAATAGTCTTTGGCTAGGGTAAGGGGAACTCACCAGCTTAGCCAGCTGGACCAATTTCAACTGTTTGTTCAATCTCTGGAGTTGTTGGAGGGGGTGCAGGATATGGATACGGATATGACATGACTATGACTGTGACCCTCGAGGAGAAGGGACATCAATCACTGATGAGCATGACATCAATCAGGAACAGCTGAAAAAATAAACAGCGTGGGTTTTCGATTGAAGGATTCCATTTGGTGGTCTGAACGAGATCTGGCCCGTCAACAGCTTTCCCGGCACGTCGCGAACCGGTGAACCTTCGGGAGAACGCATGTCGCCTCAACGCGGGTTCCTCACCCCATGTGTCACAAGCGGAATGGTCTTCATGCTGTCCATTTGTCGAAAAAGGCTGGAAGTCAACTTACAAGTTTCAGTTTCACTCTCTCCACTCAAGTGAGTCAATGCCCAACTTCGCATTTCGCCGGTTCTCCGGAGGCGTCCACCCTCCCATCCTGGTCTACCAAGGCCCAATGCCGAGCGCTATTGTAGCGCTGCTCTGGCGTCGGGCTGGATTGGCTCGGGACTCCAAGCCCACAGCCGAAGATGGACGACACCAGATGACAGCAGTGACCGAAGGAAAGAGGTCCAGAGTTAGGATGTGCCCATGACCTGTAACAGTTGGTAAAAGATTATCACTCTTTTGGAAGTGATGTCGGCCTGTAACCAGGAAAGCCATCATGCACTGGGATCAGGGAATGGGGGAATGGGATAGATTCACAGAAAGAAACAACAACAACAACAACAACAACCACCGAATCCATGGTCTTCATCCCTGTTGTCTCGGGATCGCCTGGCGTTGGCGAGCGAACGGTGGAGGGCGTCATCCCATCCGCTGACTGGACCTGACCCAGAAGCCATGTAGACTCGAAAGAGGAATAAACCACCCATAGAAGGGAGGTTTTTTCAATCCAAATGGGGAGGCCATACAATATGGCAAGGGTATGTTTGGGCGCGAACGTAAGTCCGCAAGTGAGCGCATCCAAATGAGGAGGCTTTATTCATCAAGAGTCATCAAGAGTTTAGATTAGGGGACGGACCATGACCCATTGACGCAGAAGGATAGTTCTATCAGAGGCACACTCCCTGGAATCATCATGCTTACGTGGATCCAGCCACCTGTTTGGTATCGGGATGTATCGGGTCATCGGTTTGGGGCCATGGCATCCACGTTGGCCCATGATGAGATCAGGGAGTGAAGGGCTTCTTTTGGCGCCATCACATGGGTCATCACGACTTTCTAATCAACGGGCCGGGTGAATTGACAAGGGTTGAGCCGCGGACCAACAAAGGATCATGTATACCAGGGCCTCCCTTTTGGGGGTGTCTATGAATAGCCCGAAAAGAGGTCAAGAGTCAAGGGGTGCCCACTAACCACCCCATTGTGGGTGCTGGAGGAAGATCTTACGTATTATATATAACATATAACAGTATATACTGCAGTATATGTTTAGGATGTATAAATCTGTGTGACTGGGGCATCAAACTCTGTATTGGACATTCTTCTTGCAGGTGAACACAGGACCCATATTCGATCCGACCCCAAGGGCAGTCAATTGTCAAGCAGTTTCTTGAGCTTGTTGTAGCAGAGACGTTCATTGGATTCTCCTTGGCCCCTGACTGAAATCTAAAGACACGTACAGTATTTAGAGTACAGACTGTATAGAATCTGTATAGACTGGTGCACCCTTCAACAACTTGGGTGTGGAATATACTCTGATCTTTGTCCAGCGCCCTTCAGCAGAAGCTCCGGTACCTCCTCTTGGTGTTTTTGGGTTGGAGTCGTTGAAGGCTGGGCATCAGACTCTTCTCACGATAGGGACCTTTCCAACATCCAATCGTGAGGGAAGACATAGACATGTCCGATCTGCAGAGGTTCTGCGGAGGTGACATATGGTTACCATTGCTTGGGCACCCTCAGCAGTCAAATGACATCTGCACCAGACTCCCTTCTCCACGCTGAAAAATCGGTGAGCCTCCTGAGAAACACAACGTTGACCATGCGGTCATGGGAATGGCGTATCTGCCAATCAATTGGGTTTGCTGGGGTCAATGTACTAGTATAGGCATAGTATGTTCCATACATGAAGTGTCTGGCGACGAGTTGTATGCGTCCACGGACCAACCATCCAAACGCGGGCATGTTTTCTTCCCCTCAAATTCTGATCTGCCCACTTGGGGTGACTCTTCTCCCGTTAGAGTTAGAGCAGTCAAAACAGGCGTTTTTGTTCCAAGAATCTTCAGACAGCAGGAACTTCGCACTGAAAACGGTGTCTTTGGGAGGCCTCCAACCCAAGAGGTGTGCAGCATATCACACAAGCCTTGCTTCGCCGCGCCCTGGTGCCAAATCCGCAGACACTTTCGGATCAGCTCGGGATCAGTTCCTCTGCAGCTTCCGAAAAGAGCATCGACCAATGCGCTGAGACAACGGTGATGTCGGTGGACCGTGATGGGTCCGATCCTACAAGGTCGATACAACGCGGAGACCGTGAGATCGGCTGATCGATACAAGTCAGCGCAAGCGCCCCATGTCAAGTGAGTTGGTCCCAGACGATTCGGGAGAAGTACATGAATCTCACTCTTAACATGCTGGAACCACCAAGAACGACCCGTTCTGAACAGGACCAGGACTTTTATATATAGATGAAGTAGTATGATTGTTAATTGTAGTTCAACCAGATCCATCTCAAGCATGTGCCAAAGATTGATAGCATCAAGTGCCTTGAAGAGCTGCTGATAGCCTGAATCACTGATGGCTGTTGCACAGAGATGCAGCAACTTGGTATGCAGCCTAAACAAACCTCCGCGGGATTGTGTTTCTTTGAGGTGAAAGGATGTGACAGGTCATTGAGCCGTTCAAAGCGGGCTTTCTCTGCATCTTAGATCCACAAGTGACCAGACCATCCCCGCATCTCCCCCGGAATTCCTTCGCTGCTCATTCCAAAGACGACACATCACGAAGCATCCGTGGATCCGTCCGCAGAGCCGTCGGTGTCCGTCGACGTCGACCCCGTGGTCGCCGCTTTGTGGCGATCCGGATGGGACTTGGGCAGTTCCCGTTGAAGTTGATGAACATGAGTCGCATGGTCGCAGAGTTGACAACCGGTCGGCAGACTCTCCCAACCGCTTCAAGATAACCCTGGTTTCTCGTTCCAGGAACAATGAGAACTGCCACTGCCCTTGCAGTCTAACATTGGCACCTTCTTCCACGGAAATCTGATTTCCCACAGGGCCGTGTGGCTGCCCTTTTCGTGCCACGCCGAGTCACTGAATGTGTGCGGGACACATTGGCTGTTTGCATCCAGGTTTGGCCTCCTTCCCCGTCCTTCGCTGCTCGGTCGATTTGGAGAGATTCGCAGAACGTTTGGCCCGAGGAACCAAGGGGTGGATGTGACGTGAAAGCCCTACGGATGCCAGTTCATCCTTCCAGATGAAAATGAGGAACATTCGCGCCAGCATCGGTGCTTTCCTCCATTTTTTGGTCAGGTTTTGCAACTAACAAGACTCTGCGGCTAGGGGGTGTCAGTGTCTTGGACAGTGTGGACGCTGTTTGTTCCGTGAACAGATTGAACAATGGGGTCTACCCCTTCCAAAAAAGAGGAGGACAACGCTACAGCCCGCTGTGGAGGTCTCTTAGTCGCACCAAGTGATTGGAGGTTGGGCTCTCTTCCTCCCCGTTGAGTCCAGGTAAGTCCGACATGGCATGAGTGGCATCGTGAGGAAACAACATGTCGCAGCGTGGTGGGGTAAAGCAATACCGTCACCATTCAACTGCCGCTTCTATCTGGAATGAGCCAGCAAGAGTGCTGCTTCAAGGTTTGGACATCCTGATTAAACCCACTATTTTCTGCTCTCTCAACGAGGTAAAGCCGGTGATGCTGGTAAAACTTTCTTCGACTTTTGGTAATCGACGATTCACGATATCACGAAAGGTAGCTTGAGCTACCTGAGTTCTCCTTGCTTTAGCAAACATGTATTACAATCAGGAGTTGGGATTGTGCATTGAGTTTGGTCCTGTAAGAGATGATTCTGTTCGTCGGGGGGGGGGGCGCCCCCGCCCCCCCTGGATCAAACCCCCCCTGCGCCGGTTCACGCCGTCATGGACTTCTACCAGGGTTACTTGTGATTGCCTGCTACCTTTCGTTCACCCCCTCCTCTCTCAAGTATATTTTCCCTAGCCTTTCAAGACCATGAGAAGAAAGCTGCACCAGGTTTTGTAGTACAAAAATCACATCACAATACTTGGGTCACATTATAGAGGGCCATGTAAGCACCTATATACAGATCATCCGACCTCGGTGCTGGGCGGAGGGTCGGAGCCACCGATCCGGCCACCGATCCGGTCCAGGCGCTTCCGGATCGACGGAGCGCCTCCAAAGCTTTGGATCAGGAGCCACTGGGAGCCACTGGGAGCCACGGAGGTGGACCCGGGGGCTGGTGGGCCGTGTGACCCCCGCCAGTCGGAGTCGAGTGGGAGAGTGTCAGACTGATCAAAGAGGATCAACATTCAGAACTGGCCCGGGGTCTAGCAAATTCAGAAGCTAAAAAGCATGGGTTGAAACGCGGGTTGTGAAACGACCAGGAAGGCAGGTAGGGATTTGGGTGTTTGGTCCATCAAGAGAACAAAGAGGATGAGCATCACCGACCATGGAGGGCAGCATGTTGCTTCAAGCAATTTGGGTCACTCGGAAAGATCTCGACTGGAGCAACCAGAGGGAAATCGTGCAAGATTTTTCCATAGTTTAGGACAGGGGCCTAGCTTAGCATTGTCGGAGATGCGGAAGTATGTGTTGAATGGCACTTGCCTGGTAGTCAAAGGATTTTTGCTTGCCTTTTTTGCTTACAGGGCTAGAGTGGTGCTCCTTGTTTTCTGGCCGGACTGTGTGGGAAGCTATCAAAACACATTTTAGCTAGAATGTAGATTGCAACCGATATGAACAGTTCTGCATACCGTGAACCTGCAAGGGAAAAAGAACATTGAGTGCATACCTCCACACACGACTGCGACACCTTCTGCGTCTTGGAGATCCGGAATGTTCCACTGACCCTCCTTCTTTTTGTACATACCACACTCCCAGATAACCAGTGAAACCAAAGGGTCATGGGAAGCGCCTCAGACAGAGTCCGCAAGTATCGCTGGTAGGTCAACCAAGGTATTCAGGTTTTGACCCGACAGCCATGTGTCCGTTGGTTCCGCGCGCCCCTCCGGCGAGGACGAAAACCTTTCAGCGCGTTGAAGCAGCCTCGGCCTCGTTCGCTCCAGGAGTTCCAGGCCGGTCGGCCACAGTCACATGATTCAAGCCGGAGGGGCCGGGGTGATTCAAAGTTTTGGACATCAAGGAGCATACTTGTTTCATTTATGTATATAGTATATATTATTAATTATCATCACACTTCCCACAAAGAGAGACCCACTCTTGAAAAACCCAGTTTGACTGAATCTGTAGATCAGGATCATCGGCTCATCCTCAGTGTACTTGGGTCCCTAAGAATTGAATTATGGGCCAAGAGTTTGAACTAGCAGAAGCGGATTGCATACCTCCATGTTCAAAATAAACACCCTCCAAACCTACATAAACAGTGTCTCCAATCACCTGAGAAGGTACGACTGGATCCCTAGGGAAAGTGGTTTCCCACTAACGAACCGTTTCTTTTCGTCCAGCCTTCCCACGCTGGTCATCGACTCCAGGTGAACGTGCGAACGCCTTTGGGCCGTGGTGCTTGCTCAGTGGTTTTTGCGCCTCGAAGAGCGGATGTGGTTCCAGTGAGAAAAGGAAACGACATGAAACAACCAAGGGATAGTCCTCAATGTTTGGGAGTAAACAGGAAACAACCCACAAACAAGTGCCACTTGCAATTCTGTTCTTGTAGGGGGGGTATTTGGATGGTTTTTTCTTTGTAGCGGGCCACTAAAAATAGTGTTTTGAGGCCATATGCGTGCCACTTTGTGGAGGGCATATTTGGGATGTCGCAGCGAAGGTGTGCTGTACATGACCCGGCCATTCCCTGCCCCAGGGGGAGGCAGCCAGTGTCTGCGACCCCAGGACCATATATGAAAGCACCAAAGGAGAACGACCACCGAAACGGCCGACATTCGCGGTTCCGGAGGCATGACAGTCACAGCCAAGTCCAGTCCTTGTCTGAAGAGTGCTGAGAGGGTTCTGTTTCGCATGATGTGGGTGACTTGGAGGCTTCCGACATGCAGGAACCCACAGAGTATGTCCAACCAAGTCCCCCGAGCAATTCAAAACCAACCAAAAGCAAGATCTGCTGTTGGAGATTCCGAGACTGTCCAGATTCACGGAAGAGTTGCTGTTTCATAGCTGTGTCAGATACACTCAGGTGTTTGAACCACTTCCTGCAACACTGGATCTCCTTCACCCAAGAATATATGAGATTCTGGGAGACTCTGAGTGACCCTCCCTTTGGCTGTGGGTTTTGCGAGATCAAAGGGTCACGAGAGTGCTTATGGCGCCCCTTCCAGGTCGCAAAAGGGGTCAAAAAAGGGTCACTTCCAGAAAGGTCCCTTCCTTCATTTTCCCTGGCTTTGCGGGCGGGGTGTTGTGTTCTTCTTCGTTGGACCCTCATATAGAGGGCTTTGGGGTCAGGTTTGGAGGGACCGGTCGGGCCGGCTGTGAACCGGTCGCAGGCAGGGACGCACCGGAAGACCGACTTCAGCGTGGCGATCAAGGCGAGAAGGGGGAGGGGGAGCGTGGCGATCAGCTCCGAGGTATATGAATAACCCAATGGATCTATGATGATCTATGGATCCACTGGATGTCAGTTGTTGAGAGGTCTTCCTTAATTTTTTAGTTCTTTTTATGCACGCCGATTTAGATTTAGGGCGGTATTCTAAGGACGATGCTGTGATATGTTATGGATTCATCCAAACCCCGGGTCTTGGAACGCTGCAATCATCCCACAAAACCGGATCTTGGTCCTGGTCGTATGACTGGACATGTTACAGGGTGCCACATACAGGTGATCACACTTCCACCTGGACCATAGCCATATGGTGAATCCCCAAAAACGTACCGATGGCAAGACCCAGGGACCCATCTGAAGCCTATACGTACCACTGCACGGAGGAGAGCAGGATCGAATGAAAGCCAACAGGATCGAGGTCGTGGTGTGGGTCACACACCCCACCTGTGAAACTCCCAGGACCCCGAAATGAAACTCCTACACGAACCACTTAGAACCTCACGAACCAGCTTCTTCAGTTGACCTTTGGAGGGTCCCAGTGACTGTGATCCGGCTTGTTTGTGACCGAACGGGAACGGGGATCTCAAGGGGTCACGAACTGAAGAACCAGGCAAACTGAGAACTCGTTCAGGACTCGTGTAGACTTTTTATAAGCGCATTCTTCTTGACCCAGGAAGCCAGCCATTTTCCCTCCAAACACGAAGACCCCCACACGTCGGCGTTCCACCGCCTCATGCCTCGACCGGGAGGCCATGAGTTGCGCCATGCCCACAGAGAGGGGCGCCTTGCCAGTGGCGACAGGCCCCCAAAAAACCGGAAGGGGACGTGGTGGAGATTGGAAGCAAACAAGTTCTCTGAAGAGAAGGACATGGTTTCTTTTGCAATTCTATTTGGGGATCATTCTAGGTGATGTTGCACCTTTGAGCTAGGCTACATACTTGTCTGTGTTGTTTTCCATTTCCAAGTGCAAGCAGGTCTTTGCTGCGTTACACGTTTTGGATACTTCCCGCGGCAGCTGGAGCCTTCTTCGCCCACTTCGGCGACCGATCCGACACACGCTGCACCGACCGCTGAGGAGAGAAATCCGATCCGCCGCTTTTTGAAGATTCTCAAGGAGTCCGGGTGGTCCGGATGGTCGCACTTGCCGACCAGGTGGACCTGAGCATCCTTTAAGATCACCAATTCTCAATCCCAATTCGTCCTGGCCAGACAGGCCGCAAAGTTGGGAAAGCAAGGGTTTTTTCATCTGGACGAAACACCACTTGACGCGACCTTTTCCTCAACTGGGTCGTTTGCGGAAGACCCCATGCATTGGATCAGGAAAGAAGATACGAGCCCAACAGCCCAACCCCTCAGACATGCCCCGTTCGAACTCCTTTTTCCCCGGCCCCACGAGCCGCTCCACTGCGAGGCATCGCCAACGAAAGCCAAGTCTTTCGCCATCTCCTGGAGAGAACGGGAGGTGGGGAGCCGGGGGAAAAGGCGGAGAAAGCCATGTGGGGGGGACCCCAGAGGTCCCGAGGACCGGACGCCTGAAGATGATTGAACATGCAATGTATACATTGGACCCTTAATATGGAGGGATCGGTCCTTCTTGTGGAGGGATCTGGGGTGTCAAAGACATGTCTTGACCAACGACCGGTATCTACTGGATGAGCATAATTTGCATTGCTTCAAGATCGTGCATGGCACACCTGCCCGCTCGACATGACCTTTTCGTGCATCCTCTGCACCTGGTGACCGCGCGACCGGCAGGCAACAGTCACCCTAATGTGGTGGAGCTCATAGGCGCTACCCGGGCCGTGTGTGAAGAACACCCGAGCTATCAGATGTGGAAGGGGGAAGGGAGGATCAGCCGAGGTTTAGATCACCCGCCCAAGCCAAGCTGGTCTGGGAATTTGTTTTCTCGTTTCCCCTAAGAACAAGTGGAAAGTTTGGTTAACACAATGAATCATTCTGAATGACGTCTTTTCTTCCAGTTCACGTGACAGTCCATTTTCTTGGTTCTCATGCTCGACCTGTTCTTAGATGCCAAGCCACATCGACCTTGGAAGGGTCCGTGGCATGGCCAATCCCTGTGTCCCGTAGAAGATCCGTTTGGGGCAGTGCTGTGTTTCGGGTGATTCTTTGATTGTCAACGGGGTCAATCCCGGATTGGCATGGTGAATCATGTTTAGCTTTTTTTTTGTTTTTTTTGCTTCCGAACACTTCATGTTTTGACTCTGACTACTCCCTTCGTTTCAGGAGACATGGAGAGGATGACCCCTGCCGGAGGGGTCAAGAAACGACACCTAGCTCGTGCTGGAAACGGGTGAGCTTTCGAACTATGTATTGAAGGAGCCTAGCCGTACCATACATATCTAGAAGTTCTGTTCAGGAAACTGTGAGGGCCTCATGAGCTAAAAAACAGGGTTGCAAACAGACGCTCAACTGTTTTGTTTGTCCGCCTCTCGCGATGGTGGCCAAATGGCCAAGCCCGGCTTTGGAACCAGAAAGAACCACCATGCAGAGGATAGTTGACATGTTAAAGAATTAACGCTTTCAACAAGGGCCACATGCTGGTGATGAATGCCCTCTACACAGGTACTGCAGGTCATCCTGTTCCTTCCACTCACTCCTAGGTCTTCAGACCTAGGTCTTCAGCCACTTTTGGCCACGAAAGCCAGGTGCTTTTCCCGAGATTCTTTGACCATCAAGCGTCCGATTGGTTTCAAAAGAGGCATCACGCTCATCACGCTCATCACTTGAGATACTGGATCCACCGGTCCTTTTTTGGACCCAGGAATGACCATCCGCAGACGATAAATATCCCTTTGCGGTGCCATCCGTCATCCACCTGTCCATCCGTTAATGCCTATCATCTTCCGTTATGCCTATGACCTGCACACGTCCCCAGGCTGCTTCGATGGTGATGGCCGAGAAGCCTCCGAGATGGGCTTAGAGGTACCACAGGAGCGACCTCACGAGCTCAATGTTTTTTTCTTTTTGTTAACAGAGCACACCAAACTTAGACTTGGTTCCGATGGGTAGTTTTTTGGTTCCTGTTTTGGTAGTTCTTTGGTTCCAAGTCGTGCAGAAAGATGGAAAGAGAGAAAAGAAACGCAGCCTTCGAGTTTTGTTTCCTTTTTCCACTTGTTTCCAGCATATGGATTTCATATGATTTCATCATTGCTTTCAGACAGGGATGATTCAGAGAGAGAGAGAGAGAGATTTCATCTCAGCTGGCTTGAAGCAGAACTTTCACAATCAATGGTTGCATCCCAAGAGAAAACGCGGACGAAACAAGCCGATCTGACTCTTTGCGCATCTTCCCGGCGACGGACCACGTGGGGAGAGGGACCGCTCGGACCGCTCACGCGGGACCGCGAAAGCCAGGAGGAACGTGTGCACTACTTCGTGACCGAGCGTTTGGAAGGCGTGGCAGGGCAGGGCAGATCCCGTTTTGGAGATGTTCAATGTATATGCAATGCCTTCCCTGGACTTCCAGTCATAGATGGGTGTGTAACGGCGTGTATCATTTAAAATGAACGTGTTATGTTCCAATGTTTGAATCATTTTGGTCGATTTGAGAGCATTCGGTGATATTCTGTAGGATTCTTGGACACTTTCCATGGTGGATCCCAGTTGCATCCTGTAAGGATCTACAATAGACCGCACATTCCTTTGTGATGGGAATGGATGACTTATTGGACTGGTCTTGTCTCCCGTGCCTTGTCTTTAAACGTAAACGTTTGGTTCGTTTGGTTCTCGTTTGACGTGGGACCACACTTCTGAACAATGCTGATTTCTTGAAGTCTTCAGCGAGCTGTTATGAGATGATCTCAGTCGAAGTTTGCGCAAAAGACGCCAAAGGGTGGGTTCGCTCACATGCAGAGTAAAACAAACACCTCGCATGGGTCCATGGATTGCACCGAACATCATTCGTCTAGTCTTCCCAACTCGGGGTCGTTGGCCATCCACGGATTCCATAGTCCAACTCTGTGCCGCAGATTGAGCTGGGGCCACAGATTCGAGAACCAATCACAGACTTGGGCCTGGATCGATGGACTGCAGAGTTTCTGCATAGGTTTTGTTCTACAATCTGCATCTACGACCGGTGTTTTTCCATCACAGACGTTCGACGAACGGTTTTCTTCTCCACACTCTTCCACACCAACGCGGACCCGAAGGAGGCTCCATGGACGAGCTGCTGTCGCCCGATGGAGTCCCCGAAGACTCCGCCCGGGCGGTCGCCAGGCGCGTGACGTCGAGGATGTTGTGTGACATATGCGGACAGCTGCGGGGGAGCAGACAGCCGCGTTCAAGAGTTTTTGGTTGGAATTATCCAAATGTAATGACTTCCAGGAAAGGTGAGAACAATCATGGATCTTCCAACATCACAGTATTAGTCGAGTAACGTCAAACAGATGGATTGAACAAGTGGCCCTGTACGTCGCGTCTCCACTGTTCGACGTGAACTCCTGAGACCTCCCCCTTGTGAACTCTGACGTGTGCCGGGCCGGTGTTCGGCCCGGTTTTCGTGTCGTTTGGATGAAGGGAGAAAGGATAAAGGCCAAACACCGAAGACCAAACAGGTGGTGCCATTCGCTCACCCATCATTGGTTGTAAAGAGTCCTTCCAGGCCAAATACTGTATGTGTCGGATATTCAGGCCAACGTTGAAGAGACCGACGTGTCATGGGTCCAATATACATGTCATCCAACCGCATCCAAGAGCTTTGAACCTGTAAAGTGTAAAGATATCAAAAACATTCAAACACATGATTTGGCTGTGGGTCAAAACCAGACCGACCGGTTACCGAAGCGACACGAGGTCGTTCGCTGCGTGATGGACCTCAGGGAGGTTATGTTTGACCCGGTGGTGGCGTAGTGAAATAGGGAGAACTTTGAGGTCGACCCTGGAAGAAGGAACCTCGACGAAAACTCAGCGGTTTTCATGTCTCCCGATCAAACGTTTGCATCGATCGACATGATTCAACGTCTCTGCGCGAGATGTTCAGAGATTTGTCAGTTCTTTACTTTGTCTCATCAGTCTCCTTTTGTGTTCCGATGATGGCAGAGCGGCAGGAAGGTGTGCGAGGGGCTGGCGAGCTTGCATGAGCAAGGCGGGGTCGGGGTGTGATAGCTTTACATGCAAAAGGTGGCAAAATGAATCTACAGAATTCCTGCACTTCTACATAGTTACACAGTGAATGCAGTTTCCCACCCGAAAAGAAATCAGGGTCATTTATATAGGTTGCAGCAACCTAGGTTCTTGCGATCTTGAAGATGCTTATCATTTATGCGCCGGAATGATCTATGGAGTAGACAGCGGTCACAAAGTACAAGACGTACAAGACATCTCTTTGGTAGCCTCCCACGAAGCACAGGATCCCTTCAAAATCGTCTCCATTACCACGTCAGGCATGGTGGCTGTGCCCCCCCTGGGTAACAGATAACATAGACCAGCGTCCAAAAGCGCAATGGTTTACATTGGGGGTCCAATGAAGGAGATTGCCGCCTGTATATTCAGATTTAAGATCGCCTCGCCGCCTGAATCTTGAGAGAGGTTTTCACCATCAAATTCAGAGTTTTTTCTTCTAACTTTGATTCATGGGTTTTGGACCTACGGGCTTTTCTTCGAGAGAAGAACAATTGTCAAAAGCTGATTGGTTCTTAGTATAAGGAATTGTGGAAGGGATCCATAGGAATCTCCATAAGGAGCTCATTCCCTCATTCCCTACTAAGCACGAGTCAGAAAGAGTGGGCTATGGCGCTCCATTTTGCATGGCTGGTAGATGCACCACTTAAGCTTGCCTCCACATCCGCCAGCCCAGAAACTTGCTTGCTTGGACTATCAGGAGCCGCTGGGTCAACAAGGGGCCCCTCACGCATCATCGGTTGACACATCGCTTTGTTTCACCTTTCCAGGTACCGTTGGATTCAGCCAGAACCGTCAAGCTCCAGGGTGCCAACGGATGCTGAAACTTGAAGTGCACAACTCTCGACTCAAACTAGATGAAAGTGGACAACTAGTCGCTCCCGTCAATTGGGCGCTGGAGCTCCCATCGAGCCCCCCCCCCCGGTCTGGTGGTCTGAAGTCCCCATCGAGTGCACAAGGCCTCTCGCCTCTCGCCTCTCAAGGTGTCGTGCATCGAGACTTAAAACCGGGCAACGTGCTCTTCAGCAAGAGCGACACCGGTGAGGCGACCCGCACCGCGGTGCCGTTCGCGCCGTTCGCGCCGCGGCGGTGGAGGCAGTTCGCGACGCGCGAACGTGAAGCAGCTGTTGGAAGTGGGGCGGAAAATGGGGGTTTCGATCTGATGGAGTTGGATGGAGTTGCAGTAAATGATCCGAACTTTTTCAGTGGGGTAAGTCCACCCCTGAAGATGGCATGGACGAGACATATCAGTTCGATGACGTGGAGATCGATGTGAGGCGTTGGGGGTTTGCATTCGATGCGTCCCCGGACACGACAGCACCGATCCCAAATGCTTGATTATACAAAGGTTCAAAGGTTCGGTGCAAATTGCACATCTTTCGGTCCGGCATCTTGTGATCATCCCAAAGAATCCGGGCCCGTTCCGCAACACATTAGGGTTTGGTTCGGGTCCGGAGCCCTACTATGGAAGGTCCGATCCTTGCCATGGAGTGCCCATTCGGATTCTTAGGGATGGAAGCTTTGGAAAAGGAAAGACATAGAACACATGTTTCTCTTTATATAAACAATAAAACTGTTTTCCTGTCCAGCGACGAGGCCATCCCAAAGCTCATCGACTTCTCCCACGCCGCCGTGGCGAAAGACGGGGAGGAGCCACCGGTCTCATCTCGACGGCGACGTGGCCAACGACCCCGGGGTATCTTGAAGTCTTTTTCACCACCGACGGACCCAAGAAAAACAATGGGAATCAATGGGAGGCTTTGGGTGCAGATGTTGATCGAATCGACACCATGTGAAACCACAGGGGTTGTGTTTGTTTGAAGTGTTTGGATTGTTATCCGACCACCTGCCAGAAGAGTATGGTGGGAAGTCGTATTTGTGCACTTCAAAAGGGCTTGAAGGCTACTTGGCACTCGGTGGCTTGGAACTGACGTATGGGGTTTGCTGATCTGACGTGGCTCCACAGAAGGATGATTGCAATGACCGTTTGCAGAACATGCTTGAACATGAGGTGGGTATGTTCCACTTCCCGGTCAAAATGCTTGAAGAGCGTTCTTCCTCCAAAAGTCAAGTTAGGCCCCATCGGAGCACACACATCAAGCAGCCCTGCCAAGCAGTTTCGCGATCCCAGCCCCTACTGAAGTTTTGCTTCTCACCAGATGCAGGAGTCGCTACGAGGAGAACTTGGGACTCGTGGCTACGTGGCACCGGAGGCGCCGCATTTTGCCACTCGGGGTGGCTGAGAGATTTGGTCCTTTTCCTTTGAGTTTAAGCTTTGTAAAATTCAGCGGTTCCGTTTTTCATCGTTTTTCCTTTCATACAATTTTTCCTTTCCAAAGGGTTTGGAGGCTGCACGAGGCTACAGATTTTGCACAGCACCATATTCCTCTTGAATCCTTTCAAATCCATCCTCAGGATTTCTATGTGAAACCAACTCTCCGGGATGGCTCGGCTCTCGTGATCCTTTCACCACTGTACTAGTACTGGTACACCAAGTACTAGTACTCCCTCACTATCCAAGTGGATCACAAGATGTCACGCTTGTGGGAACACACTTCATGCTCACACTATCTTGTGATTCATCTTGTGATCCGTACCTTCACTTGCATTATATTCATTTTGTGGCCAAGACGGTCATGAATACACTTCATGCTCGCCACTTTTTCATGAAGATGGACATCTGCCAGTTGGACTTCATCAGATCCTCCCTTCCGTGTGTTATTGTGTGTCATTGTTGGGGCAATCCCAGCGTCCCGTTCTCACCCAGTACCTCCCCGGGGGTCTGTTCGAACGCACAAGACCCGTCTCGCTGTGATCGATCCTCCCACCCAGGTGCTGGCGGAGAAGCCCTATGGCTCGAAATGCCGGGCACCCCGAAGCAGACCCCGAACGCGATGGCCGGGCCTGTTCCGACCGCAGAGACTGAGACGACTTTTTTCGGTGGTCCGGTTGAAGGGTGCCTGTCTCGGTCGCTTCTTCTGCCAGGAATTGTAGTTCAACATGGTCCAACTGTTAAACAACGTGGTCCAAATGTATGAAAATGGGGAGACCTCCCTGTTCGAACCCCTAGGAGCTTCGGGAAGTGGACCAAGATTGTACCATTGGCTGGAGACCTTCCTAATTCAAACACACACACACACACACACAAACACCCAGAGAATAGAAAACATCACAGGGATTTGGTGCACAATGGTAGGGCTCAGCCTTGATGGTCTTCCAAGGGTTGTGAGGTTTATGGTTGATCGGGTTCAGGAGAGAGCCTCAGCCCTTCAGGATCCGTATTGGCGACAGCAATGGCCTGGCATTCTAACCGATCCTAACTGATCTGAAATGGAGATCTCTGAGAAAAAGGAGACGAACTGGCAACATGGTTGGATCACGTGGATCCAACATGATCCAACGTTAGCAACATGGAGAGCAAGACTTCTTGCGAGGAGGCGGCAAGGCGGGTGTTCTTTCATCTGCCAGGTGGTTCTGAAATGAACTTCTCTTCGTGCTTGATGCCACAAGGCATATCACCCAACAAGTTCTGAATGGTTGGTGCATTGCCCCAAGCGCCCAAAAAAAGCATGTCACCACGCTTCCCTGTTGTTTTTTCTTCCGGCAACGGCCAAGCGCGCACTTCTTCTCACAAACCTGTGAAGATCTGTGAAGATGCTCCTCCTGACCACACTGTTTGCTTCCCTTTCCCCTCCTGACCACTCTCCAGACGAACCCAACGCCGCTCAGTGTCCTCCGGGCCGACGCCTCGGTGCTTCTCCGCGGGGAATCGCCGCCGAGCTCCGCGGTGCTTCGCTCGGTGAGTTCAGGTGATGTCTTCTCCCTGGGCTGTGTGGTGCATGCCCTGCTGAGCGGGAGGCCGCCAAGGAGGCCGGAGAGTATGTGGCGAAGAGTGGCGGAAAGAGAGGGTATAGGATGGACAGTATGGTTGGGAAGTGGGCAAAGCTGTGACATTTGAGGGATACGATGTTCTTTGCGGGATATGACTAACAGAGATGATGATTGACCCAGCCCCGGTCCACCAACCCGGGTGCTGGAGTGCATGTTTTACATGCAAAAAGACACATTCTGTAACAAATGCATCCTGAATCGAAGGTGGTCGATGTTCCCTCCGCTGGTCCGTGTCAGTGGTGGAGACGCTTCCAGGTGACGGGTGAATTGGACCGTTTGCCGGGCAGAAAGTCAAAGGCCAAAAGACGGAAGTGGTATTTGACCTGCTGGAAAGCAATATTTCAATAAACATAAGGAATGCTACTGAATGACATAGGACACATATATACTTACTAAATAGACTACATCTAAATGCAATACGTCCAAGCAGTCCATTGGAAGAGTCTTACCTATCCCCATCGACTTGTGTTGCTGAGGAATAGTGTCTGACCCCAGACACTCCATGGGAGTCAGGACTGCCAGTCCCGATTCCCAGACAGGTCGTGAGACAGGATACCCTGCTCTGTTGGGCATCGTTTATTGGGACCGTATCGGATTCGAACCAGTCGGTGGAACTTGGACAAGACGGCCGGCCTGGATTGCATAAAACAAATTATAAGATATATAAGGACCACAAAGCTTTTAAATCATAGTGTTACTTAAACCTGACTAGCAACTGAGGACTTGTCGAACATATATGGCGCTTCCAAAGGCCTATGTCATCAGGCTTAAACCAACATGGTCATTACTCTCAAATCCTATGTCATCAGGCCACAACCATCACAATACATGGAAATGCGGCGTTCTGTGAAGATGCTTGATATTTTATTGGTTTGATTGTGGAGGTGTCCAAAGGTCCTATGACACCAGTTTTCCCCACCTAGACATCCTGTATTGCTCGATATGTGAGCGCAGATGACCTAGCCTTGTTGGTAGCCGTGTGGCTATGTCACTTGAACCACATTTGCCTAAGTCACTAGACAGTAGTATATTCAGCACCCCCAAGTCCGGAATCTTCCGTAGAATGGCGACCTTTTTGTCTTGGGTCTATGTTTTATTCCTACCAGCAGGCCCAACAACCATCATGATGAGCCTCTGAAATCATGAATGGTTTCGATGACTACAGAACCATCGCCTCCAAGGGAATTCCCCCGACTCTTTTGGCCACTCGGACCAGAGCCCACTGGGCCACTCGGCTTCCCCCTTTCCGACGTCCGAGACGCGAGACTGGCGAGAGCCACGCGTGCCCCCCTCAGGTGCCTGAGGATCGGCATGGTCCAGCAACTGCCACGCGCCCAGAGACGGAGAGTCGAGCTCGCGCGGCCGGAAAAGCATCGGGAACCGAAGGCCACACATCTGAAATGTAGACGGCGAGCTCTCAATTCACAAGTATTCACACCAACGGAACACAGGGTTACCATGGGTGACCCTTCATGTTCTGTCACAAGAGACTTGCAGTAAGGGCGGGGCACACTGATAAGGAATATTACGTAACATGTTCTGTTGTCTGTGTGAGCAACTGATTGGACATTATGTCAAACTACGTTTTAGGATGACAACAGTTTGAACACTTTTTGCATTTGTGTTTTTAGAAGTTTATCCAAAACATGAACACACGAACTTAATTGTTTTAATATTCTTGGTCGGGGGTTCAGGGGGAAACTGCCGCCCGGTGGAGCAGGGATGTGATCCGTCCTCCGAGGATGGGGCGTTTAATTTATCTAAGAGTCGACATCATATTTGCCTCAGCTGCCTTGGGCCGACCAGCTGCCTACTGTCATCATGATATTGATGATTTAGTAGATGCCTCTCGGCTTTCTACTACATGATTGACTTTTATTTGACATTATTTGACCCTCAAGCGAGCAAGCAGTTGACCATGCTTGGAGTGAATGGATCGTTTGTACTGCGGTGCCCTCAGATCGGGTTCTTTCCGATCATTTTCACCCTTGGAACCGTCATGATGTTATGTCCCATCTAGCGGAATCTAGCATGCATCTAGCGTGCATCGATCAGTCCCACGAGTTGAATCGAAACGAGCAGGCTGATCATATATCCCTGATATGATATGAACTGGGCAGGATATGATACACGTGGTGAACCAAATTGCATGGGCATGGCACCTTTAATGTCCCTTTGTCATATTGAAATGCAGGCGAACGCCATATGAACCCACCAGTGACGACCCAGTCATCCAGGTTCAAATCGGTATCACTGTCAAAGACCATCAATCACGATCAACGTATATATTTTTCTTTTCAATGGGGTAGTTGGATGTTGAATCTCAAAAAAAGGGTACGACCATTTTACATCCCCAGAATATGAGTGGATCCAGGCTTTTTACTTTTCACTGCATGTGAAGAGTCCACGCTGAAAGCATCTGAAAGCATCCCAGTCCAAAGTGTGCAGGAATTATTCATAATGATTCCTTCGATCAAACACCCTTGCAGTCATCACACATGGTGCCCGTCCACCTCGTTTTGGAGCCATCCTCCCGTTCCACGCCCCTCTTCCCAAAGGGGGCGTTCGTACATCCACCAGGTCCGGTCCAAGCGGACCTGGACCGAGGCCTGCGGCGGTCTCCCGCGAGGCGCGCGCCTTCCTCGCGCGGCTGCTGGCGCTGAACGCGCTGGAGCGGCCCTCGGCGCAGGAGGCGCGGAGGGGCGAAGGAGAGGAACTCAGTGAGGAGAGGCCCAAAGGAGAGGGCCTGGAGGCTGGATCTGCAGTGGCCCAAGTCTGATGTGGGTCCAGAAGAGATGCTTAGGGCCCAAGTTTAGGGTTTCACAGGATTTCAGAGATGCTTTGACCCACAAGCAGCCTTAAAGAGATTTTGTCCACACCAAAATCATCAAGATTCACGCTCACCTGTTGTTTGTTGAAGTCTGATTTGCTTCCAACTCTTTGATTGTATTGGTTGTGGGAAGCGTGGAGGGTCATTTCCAACAATCCTATCGATCAGATCTGGGCTTCGTAAATCTTGATATTGGCTTACTTTAGGCTCTCATGAGCTTTATAATTCTGCTCCAGAGTGGTTGGTATGATATTTTACAATATGGTGCATTGTTGAAGCGCAGGAACCGCTACATCTGCGAATAATCACTCAAACCGCACACGGCGCGCGCGCGAATCCGCACAGAGCGCACGACACGTGCTCTCCCACGCCACGTGCTCCCCCACGCGTTCGCGCTTGGCCCGTGAAGGCGTTGTCCGAGCCCTGGATGAAGGACGGATGGTCTGGGTGACTGTGGAGGAAAACGAATGATACATAGGGATTCTATCCTTCCAGAAGTGAGTTGGGTGAACTCATGCCATGTGGATAGAGCGGCCATGAGCGGCCCATTCTCGATACGTCGCACTCGAAAGGGAAGAGATCTGAATAGGGATGAGATGCTCAAAAAGGGACCAGATTGTTGCCACCAATGCGAACAAGGGATCGTTATTTTGTCGTACATGTGTTTCTTTGTAACAATTTATAACACGTTCTCCAGCACTGGATCTAAAAGGGCTCCCAGAATTTCAAAGAGAGGTATCGACGGATGGGAACCCGTTTTTTGCACGTTCCAACCACGACCAGCCGACCAGCGATTCGACCCGATTCGACCTGGACAAAAAGGTCGTCCTTGATTTCCCGCATCCGTCGGGTCAGTGGTCAGCCAAGAAAACGCGCAGACATGCGCAGACCCGAGTCACGGTGTTTTGGTCGGCGACCAGAGTGGGTTTAAATCATATCCATTTGGGATCATTTGGGTGTGTATTGTACTAGGAAGACCCAATGGGGGTCAAACTTGGAGGTCTCCCTTTTTCCATACACATCCATTTGAGTGGCCAGACCCAAGAGATACCCTCCGAAGCTTCACATGGAAGTGGATGGCATGGTCCCGATAGATACATTCCTTGCCTTTACGAACAGGAGGTGCCATGCACTTCCACGTGGCTAGGGCGTCAAACGGACCGTCAACCAGGTGGTACACTCCCAAACAAAACCAAAAGGGATCCTGAGAATTGCACCTTGAACCACGGTTTTCCTCCACAAATCAGTGTAAGGTCCATACGGCTCCAGCCACCAACGGCTACAGGCGTGGGTTTTGGCATGGATCAAGCACCAAAACCCTACCCTAAACCCGAAACCCTGATCCAATCCCACTCCCATCTTCGTCTTCAGCGGCGTTCGGCTCATTGCTTGGCTTTGTTGGACCTGTTTTCGGGTCATCGTCCTGCTCCAGGAGTGAAGGCAGTGAAGGAGCGAGCCTGCATGAGCTGGCAGTGGCAGTACAAACACCCTCGGGACCTAAGGACTGTTGGTTTGGAAAGAGGTCTAAAGAGGTCTTCACTTTCACACTCCAAAGAGCAAAAGTCTTTGAGTATCAAATAGAAAACATATATACAAACATGTACAAACACCACATAGTTATAGAGATGTAGGAATCGAGTCCTGTGTACTCAACACAAACACACTCGGTCTGCCTTTGTGATCCATGTGGGTCGTGGGAAGAACCAAAAACGACGGCTTGAAGAGACCGTCCCGGTGGCCACTGGAGAACACCTCGTCCCGGTGGCCTGTGGTGTTCGGCCCATTTTTGGTTCAACTGCCAATCATGTTCAGTCCTGGAGGATGAGTTGAAGGTACTAGTAGCAAGTGCATCGCTACTAGTAACCAGTGCACTACTACTGTAGCAAATAGCTACTAGTAGCTTCTTGTTACTAGGACTTTTGTTTTTTTCTTGCGGAAACCCAGCAGGACCATCCGTTTGGCTAAAGTGCCACTCGGTTACTCTGCATGATCCCTTAACGCACCCATGGGATTGTCAATTTGCGGTCCCCAAATTCCAAAGTTGGTCGAAGACCTGTGATGCAAAGTCTTTGGATCAGACAATTTGTGTGTGGAAGAGTCCGACTATATCACTCTTTCAGTAACCCTGTGGTGGAGCCAAGCAACGGATGATTTGTCCTGTGGTGAGCACCGGATGATTTGTCAAGTGTTGGATTTGAACTTGGATGAACTTGGTGATTCTCCCATACGAATCACAACCCAAGCTCAATCAGACTATCATAAAATATATAATATTAGGATACGCTAATGATAGGTTCCGTGACTAGAATGATCAGTATCCAGGCACACCGCTGATTCATTTAACACAGCCCTGAATGGATCTTGCCTGGTTCTTGGAGGGCATTCACTGAAGTCAGGTGAAGCAAAGCTTGGATGAAGCAATACACTTTGGGTCCAGAATCTCAAGGCAGTCGCACCGACCGAATAGATGAAGCTTTTTGTGGCGATGGTCAGAGGGAGATTCTACCATGGGAGGATGTATCATGTACTCGTAGTATGCAGTATCATATCAACCTGGAGTCGATAGAACATGGACACAATGCAAAAAACAAACAGACACTGGTCTCAATTTTTGGATTGGTTCATATCCTATCTATATAATTACTCCAGGATGATTGTATATTATATGATATCAAATGTAAAAGATACTCTCAACCCAACATAGCGCCCAGGTAAGAGGACCATAATCTTCCAGCCCCTTTATGTGGGTTCTCGTTTGGTTTAGGGAAGTCATACGATGTTCGACACTCCATGCGTTTGCTCACAGGGAAAAAACAGTGATACCGGCAGGGTCGAGTCCCAGGGTGTTTCATCGACTTGGGTACAACTTGGAGTGGCGCTCCTGGCGACACCGAAATCTCGCTCTGGCTGCCTGGCTGCCTGGCTTGGCAAGAACTGGTGCAAACCAAAGACATCCAAAGACTATTGGATCATTGAATATGCCTGAACAAATACCTTATATAGATGCCTTAGATTGCTCATGGATGATCTTCAATCATCCAACGATCCCAAATTGAGTTTCTTTGACTCGCAGCCTTTGCGTATCGAGTATCTTTGGGTATCCACATCGAAGCGTTGTACCTGGCATCCCCGGCGATTAAGCAGTTTGTTTGTGGAGATTCCATCATGACCACGACAAAAAGAACTAGGGAGAACTATATGCGTAGTGCATGCATGCTGCATGTATATGCAAAGAATTATATACATGATGGTTGGTTGCAGCATTTTTCATGACATCTTGTTCACTCCTCAAGGCGCCATGGCAGCCGGACAATACCAATATCTAAATCTTGGCTACTTCCCTCAGCGACCTGTCTGTTGTCTACTCTTGCCCCGGACTGGCGACAATCAACGTAGCTGGCATGACGGCACGATCACTGCTTCCTTCTGATCCTGTTGTACATACCCTGCAGATCCAAGGAAACTCTTTTGCCCCTGGGAGAAAAGATCAAGAAACCTGACAAAATTAGGACCTTGGGAGGTTGGAGCCAAATAAAAGTTGGGTCAACCTCTGTAGGCGTATCCTTTTGAAGGTTGGAGCCTTGATGTGCTAAGGTACTGGTTAAGCATGGGGTCCTCGCATGGGGTTCCGGTTCCTCGATTCGTTTTCTTGAACACCATGGGGTTCTTGATTCCGTCAACGTTCTCCGATGACAGACCCTGCCCAAGAAGAACTCAGGCAAGATGCGCAGTTATTCATGATCCCAACGCGTTTCAACAATTCTCAACACTTCCCCAAATGCTCAGAATATGTCAATATTTCAGGATTCAAGAGCCCAAGGTCTTGATGTTGTTCAATTTGTGACGGAGTTTGCTGCGATCTCAGATGATCACTCGATATAATATAGCATGATGGAATACGATGGACATCAACGTACTTACAAAATCATTGAATTCATGGTGCACGGAGAAGCAGAATGTTTTGGAATCCCCTAACCCCCTCAAACTGCTTCTTGACAAGGCTAGTCTACAATGATCCTGTTGACACTTGACAGCTGCAACTGCCTGTCGAGTTTCTTTTTTGATATATACAGGCCTTGGCCAGGCTCAGGTTGGTGACCATTTGTCTCCTCGTGGTTGGGGTTCTGATTTTTCCAATACAACGTCAGGGACCCCTGCTGCCCAATAACTTGTTACCATCAGGGATGGTTTTCGTCTCTCACGATTGGCAACCCAAAAACTCCACGCCATGGGAGTGCGGAGTTGACTCGTTCTTCCACCGGTCCGGTGGCGGCGTAGAATTCAGACCTTCTTGTGCACTGCCTGCCAGTGCGTCCGGTGGCGCCCATCTGCTAGTGCGTCATCTGCCTGCGTCCCTTCCGTAACTCGGGTTTGAAACGATTGAGCTGATGAAACGAGACACTTCGAAGTTCAGGCACCTTAGGACCTTCCCTTCGAAAAAATACGTGTGATTCATCCAATATAGAACTGATGTACTAGTACCTTGGATCGGGTCATCGGTGTTGGATCGGTTCGACAAGTCGAGGTTGGCGCTTTGGGTTTGATCCACTCCGATATCCCACCGACAGTGTGGATCATTGTGATGAGACTCTGAGGTTCTTTGGACAGAAAGGCATTCCTTGGCCCAAACCGGCTGGTTTGGCAAGTAAAAGTTTGGCAACCAGATGGTGAGCACCTGGCGGGGATGTCAAAGTGAAAGAGTTTTGATGTGGACACTCGGTGTAGGGAAGACCAGCAAAGGTTGCAGAGACAATTTTTGGGTGGTTGGACAAGCCTGAAAGGCTGCCCAAAAGAGAAATTGTGTAATATTTATAGAGATAGAGAAGCCTGCTGGTAGGTCCAGCATTATCATGCATTATCCCTGCAGTCAGGGTTGATGTAGCTTTTGTAGGAAAATCCGTATGATGAGACACTATAACCCAGCAGACCACGAACGGCGCTGGTTCCGCTTACCGGTGGTGATGATTCTGTACCGGTCCGTGCCGCTACGTTGCACCGGTCCTGGCCCTGCACACATTAGCAGCTTCTTGCTACTAGTAGCTCCTTGCTCCTAGTAGTACGGCCAGGAGCCCCTAGTAGCGCCTAGTAGCTTCTTGCTACTAATAGCTAATTGCACATGTTTGATCAACCGATGGTGGGTGCGGATGCATGAAAGTCGGGATATCCAATCCACGGCAATCCATTGACGCTGGTGGATGAACGTCCTTGGACTCTCTGGCAGCCGGCCGTGGCACGTAGAGTTGGCAGCTCATGGCGCTTGTTTGTGACATCGGCCGGTCTATTTCGGCACATCATAATTACTGTACATGTGAATATGTGAAAACATCTTTAAGGTCTTTGAGGTCCCGTCCCACTGGTTCCTTTGCACTTCTCCAGCCAATTGTTTGGCCACTCGCGTGCATAAAGGTTCTAAAGAAAGATAATATATGTATATATATATATATATATGACGATAGATGATATATAATAGAAATCATGTCGGTTTAGATCAGTTTTCATAGTCTTCCAAACGCCATTGCGGCTGCCATGCGCCGGCCACAATCCCCCCCCCCAAACGCAGAAGATCCACCGTTGCCATTCCGGGGGTTTGCCCCTTGGCGCGTGGAGCGTGACGTCCTTGGCGCGTGGAGCGTTTTCAAAAAGAGGCGCTGGAGGCGTCCCACGCGGTGGCTGGGGGGTCTTGAAGTGACACTCCCCGTCACCTAACCACCGCGACACGTGGGTTTTTTGGAGCTCAGGAGGGCGATGGGGGACGGGTCATACACTTGGGGTGTCCATCACGGCATGGCGCAGACCGGGACGTGTTTGACGTATCTCCTGAGTGAAGGCGTACGGCGTACCGAGTCGCAAGTAAAAGGGGCAGGTTCCAAAGACCACGTATGGAAGGATCCAACTTCGAGATTTTTGGACGTTTTATGAATATATCGTTAAAGGTTGATAATGACTATATCAGTTCAACTCATTCTAGGGCTTTTTGGATCTTTTTGGAGCTTTAGACATTGGTTGGTGGTTTGCAGCTGTCTGATTGTTTTCCAAGACCTCGTGCAAGCAATTTGTTGTTTTACAGCTTGAGCTCAGTGGTTGGTTCAGGACATATAATATAGTTCCCCTCGAGTGAAGAGATGCTTTGGGTTATGTTTTTGAATGATCGGGGCTTCCTCCACTGTGTTGAACGATGAACCCATTCAGTGAGTTAGCAGGCGTTACGATGATCATTTAGCAGTTTTTTTCACTAGAAACGTAGTGCAATTATAGATTTATGTTCTAGATGAAGTTAGATATGGCCATGCCTTGAAACATGCCCCAAACCCACCCTGTGGGCAGGAAACATCAACCATTCCAGAACACGTGTACCACGGCACGGGTCTCACCGCCACCAGGTAGACCGATGGAGCTTGACGATCCACAGCGGTTGATTGACGTGAATAACCAATGGGTAGACTGGTCTATCTTCCAAACCTTCCGCCGGGTCACGCCTGCGGTTCGGTCTTCCGATGTTCCAAAAGGGACCTCCTGGATCCACTGGATCCACTCTCGGCCCACGACGACCATCCTCACCTGTTGGTACCCATCTGAGGTGTGGAGGGGCCCTACGTCCGGGGTCCCCAAAGGAACGGTCGGAGCGGGGGAGGGAGGTTCGGACGGGTTCGGGGTTCGGGTCTGTTCGGAGCGGGCCTCCGACTTTTGAACTGAAACAGTTGTTTTGATGTTCAAAACAGTTCAGTTGTGATGTTCAAAACATGAGAACTGCAACAAGTCCCGGGAGTTTCGGTCGAAGAAGCATCTCCGCGTCGCTCCGCGTTTCCACTTTCGGTCAGCCGATACTGGAACTGTTTCGGCAAAAACCCCAACCTCAGAAAGGCAGAACCGTTACGTCGTGGTGGTCCTGGTCGCCGTTGCCGCGAGGCCGCGACCGCGCGCCCAGGCGGCGGGGAGGTCGATCCCCTCGCCGGCTAAACCAGACTGGTGAGTCTATGTTCCGAACCATCCAGCCTGGGAGGTCTTCCTGTTATCAGACCAGGACCACCCAGATTGGGTCGCGAACTCCAGAAAAGGCCACCAAGGACCCCAAGTCCCGCAGAAGCACGTGTCCCTTCCGCATCCCTTCCTCATCCTTCCAAACCCCAAGTCGTCCGCCTTGAAGACCTCATTTCACCCCAACGCCCATCAAACACCTCTTTTTGTCCAAACCTGTGACGCGTGGCTTTTCTACCCAGTCAATGGATAATAGCCTATTTTTCTACCCAGTCGTAGATTTTTTCGGAGCGACGCCGCACTCGATTTTCCGAAGTGGACAGTTCGGATCGCCCCGAAATGGTCCCATGGCCCATTGACCCTTTGGTCCCGACAGTGAAAACCCTTCAACTCTCTTCAAGCCTACCGAGGTGAAGCAGTTCGAAAAGCACCTCGCTCAAGTCTGCGGCTGCACCGCTGCTCGGGCTGCCCAGGGGAGCCAGGTCCCGCAGGAATGCCGCGCCGCAGGTTCATGCTCTGCCACCGGCTCGGGGCTCTGTGCTTTTTGGTATCAATAAAGAAAGACTTAATTTGCAGTCTTCTACAGTATTCCCTCACTTTGGAGTTCGCTCCAGCTTGGCACTGAACTTACGATCCGGCTGGCATGGAGTTACTCCTGGGAGTTACTGCTGGACATGGACCCAGTGCAGCCCGATGATCGCGTCACGAGGGATGATCTGACAGGCTGTCGGTCTGAGAGGGACAGGCGGCCAGGCGAAATCAGTGAGTTGAGACACAATGGGGAATGCCTAAGGAATGGTAATGCTCATCGGCCAAGAACCGCATACCTCACATTTCACCTGACGGGCCTGATGGTGCCGTGGAGGCCCTTTTGAAGGGTGCTAGGCTGAATGATTCGGCGAAATCTCCTGGGAAGCTTGGCTGACTGGGAATCTCATGTTGAGCTGACTCACTGGGGACACTGGTTGCAGGGGCAGATGATGAGGACCTCAAGCACACGATGCGTTCCGATGCGTGCGGGCATGAGGGACAAGAGGGACAAGCGGACAAGGCAGAGTCCAACCAGGACTCTGAACGTTTTCTGTGAATTGATCAGAGAGAAGTAGACTTGGAGAACACACATATTATATTTGTACAATAGATATCAATAGATGCTTGTTTTGGAATGAATTCTACAATGCCTGGAAAAACTACAATTGAGACCGCCTTTGCTTCACTGGTCACTGGTATTTGCATTTGTGAGGTATCCATGGGTATTCTAAACCGACGCCCGTACTTGCATGTGCGTGCCGCAGTTGTGCCCAGAACCTATTGCAACTCTATGCAACTCTGTGCCTTTTTACCAAGACCCATACAAGCTTAGGAGGTTCTTGTCCTTTCTATTTGTGCCACGTTTTTTTTTTTTGTTCGTTTTCCCACCTGTTTTCTGACACATACCCAAGGCACTTTGATGGGCTGCATGGGACTGGTTTCACTGTGAGCCCGAGCGCGAAGAGGGGGTATACGAGAACTGAATGACAGGTCGGTGGTTTTTCGATCCCTAGACAACCCCAGGTGGTTTTTGGCAAAGTTGTTTTTGTTTGGAGTACTGTAATTCTATTTGCTGATTTGCTGGCCTCTCTATTTTGATAATTCTATCTACTTCATCTTTGACGTTTACGGTTGGGCCCCATCGTCCGTGCCGCAAGCCATGGGAACACTGAAAAGGCCCTCCAGTTCCTCCGTGAGCCGGGCTGCCAGTGCCAGAAGCGGGAGCAAAGTCTCCTCCAAGAGTCCAAAGAATGCCATGAAGCCTGTCTCTTTCCTGAAGTTTGTGAAGGGTAAACCCGCCATAGCCGATAAAGCTGCTATAGCCGCCAAAGCGAGGGGATCTTCCCCAAAGGAGAAAAAGCAGACTCAGCGAAAAAAGCAAGCGAGACGGAGGACTCCAGAAGAGGAGGCCATTTGGATTTGCCAACAGCTCACTCACGGAAAGCTGAAACCCAAGAATCTCCGAAGAACCACCGGCGACGCAGGCTACGTGTTGCTGAGGCATGAGGCCAAAAAGTGGGTGACCTTGTCAAGTGTTCAAGAGCTGGCATACGCTTTGAAGCCACCGGAGGAAGAGTGGTATCGTTTCCTCTTCGCACATGTGTGTAGCTTCATGATGGATGGAATCCTTCAAGTGAATAGGATGTACAGGATCCTGTTTTCGGATGAGAAGGACATTTACTACTTCTCCTGCGGCGTGGAGCATGGCCATTTCATTCGAGATGGTGCCAATCAGTTCTTCCAGTTCTTGAAAGCCTATGAGGTGACAGATTTCAAGGCTGCCATTGAGGACAAATCTTCTGACATGAAGTTGTTGGAAAATTTGCTGGTGAAATTTGCCAAGCTGCCGGAGCAGACTCTCGCAGACATGGAAAAAAGCATGAGGCATGCTTGGGAAGTGCGCAGGATATATATATATATATAAACATGCTATCAGAAAGAGCATGTGAGGCACCACAAATTTGTATGGTCTGAATCTGGACCAATTCTCAGCTCCGGCAGCTTCTCGATCCATCGAGAAGAAACACTTCGACTCCAGACATGGAACTGTGCGACTCCTATGGCCTTTGAGGCACAGATTCCTACGGAAAAGTGAAGAAACCTGCAACACCTTTTTTGGGGATTGGGAACACCACACTACGTATGAACAGATCTGGTATTCAAGAACCACCCCCAAACCAACCCTCCAATACCTCGCCCGCTGCCGGTGTCCGCGCCGGTGTCCGCGCCGGTGTGCGGGGCAACGTCTCGTGTCCTTCAGGCCTGCGCAGTGCAAAGCGGAACCGCGGCTCTCTATGGAGCGATGAAGGCGAGGAACGACGAGGACGAAGCGGGTTCAACGAACCGAAGCTCCCCGACGATGAATGAGATTCTGCGGGAAAGGAAGATAAATGATAAATGTACAAGACTCTTGATTTGTCACATCTCTATTTTATGAGGAGGTTTCGCAATCCAAATGGGGGGGAAGATGGGAAGTTTTGCAATCAAGAGTCTATAGATTGAGGCAGAGACAACCTAGTTTTTCCGTAGCTGCTCGGTGCCGAAAAGCTGTTGACGAACATGAATTCGTCGGTGTTGCTTCTCAGGTGGTTTTGGGGCAAGCTGGACCAGACAAGTTGGCCACAACACGGAAGGCCGTGCAAGTTGTAAAAGAGGATAGAGAGGTTCCTTTTCATTTATCGCGGCCTTGCTTTGTGGGGTGCCCTACATCAAAATGGTGGTAAATGATTGAGCTTCCATATTATGGATCCAGAGTATGTTCCAATACATGTTCCTATTGTTCATAATAACTGTTATCCATTCCCTCATGATACAATGTTAGAAATCTGATGGCGCATGTTGCCCACGTGTTTTTGTGTGGTGTTTTGCTTCCAATCCCAAGCTGTCCGGCAAACAAATACCCTGGTCGTCACTCAGTTCAGGTGACTTGGAGCGGTGCCTTTTTGGGAAACGATGAAGTTTGATCAGACTGGTGATGAAGGTCAAGTCAAAGTGCTTTTTTTTATTCTATGTTCTTTGCCTTTGATTGAACTGTCCATGACTCATGATGAGAAGGGTGATGGCAACAATTGGACTCGAAGTCGGTGTTTGATGTTCCTTTTCACCAGTGGGTTTAGGTGGCACCTTCTTTTTTCTTTGTTTGTCCATATAGATCGATCTGCTTTTGTTCATCCACTACTTGTACTACTTGTGGAGGATTCCCAACGGGAGCTGTTGAACCTTCTGCTATATGATGTTATAGATCAGGCAGATCCCCAAGCATTGGGCGTTAGTTGATCTGTTTCTTTCAATCGGAGATCTGACATGGGTCAGCCCATGGGTCATCCACACCCCTGTCATCCAACCTGGCAGGCACCGAAACAACATATCCCCTTGGTCCGTCAAAGACGACAGAATGGTCAAGTCCTTCGGTCCGTCCAAGACTCCACGACCGGTGCCCGAAGAAACGAGACGACCAGCGAGGCGCTGGGCGTCTCCGAGCCCACACACCACGTCTTGGTGCCGGCCTTCACCTGCGGGAGCCGCAGAGAGATGTTCGCGGGGGCTGGGGCGCTGGAGGTGGTTTTGCTGAACTCTCCCATTTAGGCTCCGACGACCTCCGTGAGGTTCGGTGGTTAGGGTGGATTTTTGGGGTCTAAGCACCTTCTGAGGAGATGGTTGGAGGTTTAGGGTATATAATTGTAGGATAGGTCCTAGATGATTTTCGAATATTCGGTCACCTGGAACACAGTTGGCTCCTGGAGGTCCGGGACGGTGACCGCCAAGCCAACCGTTGGTGGGGAAGCATCCAGTGGGTTAGTTTTATTGACCTCGCAAGGCTCATATGATACATAAGGCACTTGCCAAAAGGCGATATAGAAAAAACATATATGTGTACCGTGTTACACCATTGATGATGGTACCATTGGAAGATGAGTTTCTTATGCAACAGGTGTTTGGCATCGGGTTTTTGGCATCGACCCCCTCTGTTCTTTCGTTTTTCACCTCGTGGCGCACTTTCGCTTGGTCGGACCTCCATGAGGTCGGTGTTTTCTCGTTTGGGGTGTTTGTCGGACCAAGTGCGGTAGCCAAAACAAGACTGTGACTGTGACCACCGACGGCACACATCGAGTCACAGGGGCGACCACCCAACTATGGTTCGGCTATGTTCGGCTATTAATATCACCTCAGGACCAAAAGACACAGAAACATCTGAGTGAAAACCACTGCAAGGACCCCTGGCATAAACCGCCTCCAACCAACGTCATCAGCTCACTCTTTTTCCCTAGCCTCTGAATTTCCACAGAACCCGAAGAACATCGCTCAGTTGGGTCTTGCACCCCTCAAAGACGCCCAAAGATCTTTTTCCCTGAAAGCAACATGAGTCCGCCCCAGATGTTTTAGTCCTGGATCTTATCCGCAAGCAAGGTACAGTTAATGACCACACTCTGGAGTACAAATGGGTCCAAACAGAACCAAGAATCTCCTTGAACTAAGGACTGAGCCCTTGTCTATAGCTTGCTCCAGAGGGAGCGATTCGGAGCAAGGGGTATCCATTATTCCCGTTGAACGGGGAGCCTAGGAGATGCATGAAATATTTAATTAGCGCTCCATGTCTCCCCATTGAAATATGTTCCCGCTCGTTGCGAGCTGCTGGATTGGATCTCATCCCACTTTTGCCACCTGTTTCCATTTCGAGGTGCCGCCTGTGCCGACGCCATTGTGCATGCGGGCGGCAGGCGCGTTCGGGGATCGATGCGAAAAATCTGGCGGTGCGGGTGAAGGAACGGATCCAGAACCAGCTTGCAAGAGTTTGGATATATACTGTATAGATCTGTATAGTATTTGTGTTTCTGAATCAAGAGAACACTCTTGCAAGAGTTTAGATATGATTAAATATATGGTATTTGTATGAATTTAATTCTGAAACATAGCAAGCTCGAGCAAACAACATCGGAGCAAACAAACAATGAACACACAATGTCACGTCGCAGGCTAACCGCTCAGACTGGCCTCCACGCACTTGTAGAAAGAGATACCGCAGCCCTCAGAAGTGCTGTTTGCATGTCTTTTTGGTGTGCATGATTTGGGCAATAGTTCTGGCACGCTTTGAGCACGCTAAGCGCCGATTTGATCGCGGAAAAACGAAGGAGTTGAGTTTGGAAGAGACTGCTTTCTGGTGCAACTGGCCAGTTCGAAAGTCGTTTGTCGTTTGGATTCGATTGATCTGTGCAACTGCACACTTCAGCAAAGCAGCTTCAATCTAAGCCCCTGCCTGTCGAAGTACACTATTTGACACGAGATCAAGAGCCGGATGCTGATGTTTCTTCGGCTGACCTGGTGACCTGGTGCGTTGAACATCAGGTCGACGAGCTTGGTCCTTCCGACGAAATCCTTCGCCTCCACTTCCGACGCTGGGGCGGGTCACCTCCTCCGCCTGCTTGAACGGCAGCTCGCCTCCTCGGCTGCGGGTCGCGCGCGGGTCGCCAGGCCCATTCCGATCGACTGTGACTTGGAGTCGTACGGCGTCTCCTTGGAAGCGGTCCAGACCGGACTGGCCGACAAGGCGGGTGTGTTGTTCACCTGACGGCTAGCCGACTGCTGTGGGTAGCCCTTTGTTTGTGAACAGGTTCGGTTGTGATAGGCATCTTGGATTTGTATACAAACAAAGGAAGGCCGGCCGGGTGTTCTTTTTTGATTTTTTGGTAGGAAACAGGAATCACCAGGACTGAACCGAAGATGGTGTTCGAAACTTCGAGTTTGTTTACCGTATGTTAGGTGAAATTCACACACATCAACATGACACAAACCGGATGTGGCTTTTGATTCCCTCCAAAGAACCGCTGCGTAGGGATCTTCACCAAAAGACCGGGCCCCACACGTGGGAGCTCACCTGCCGAACCAATTTTTTGACTGTCGACAGCCCTCTGAAATCCGGTTTTCTGGAAGGCTCGCTTCACCTTTCTTTTTCTTCTGGGAAGCCTGAGAGAAGGTTCGCTGTCGTTCGGATCCTTTCGTCGGCATTCATCGTTGGACCTCGGACAGTCCAAGTCGTCTCTTGACTTTCCAGGGATCAAAACAGCTCAGGGGTGAGAAGAGAGGTTCCCCAGCTTCATAGCTCACTGCCTCCCCCTACCTGGATGGTCCTTCGCCTGCTTGAGGGGCTCCGAAATCTCATTTGACTAGTCAACGATCGAACAATTCGACCCACTCAGCATCAAACACCGAACCTCGACATATTGTTCTCCCTATCTTTCAAACTCGAACTCCACATTGATCACTGGCACTCGCCGCGGCACTGCCACTCAACACCCTCACTGACCTCCCAACCGAATCCCTCGGTCGGGCGAACCCTATGGGTCAAAAGAAGACTGAAGATGCAAACACCATCAGGGGTAGGCTGTGGGTGAGAGTTGTGTGTGTGTGTGTGTGTGTTTTTCTTTGCTTGAACCTGTATGTTTGATGATGTTTGATGTAGCCATGTGGCGGTTTCGAAGATGGTCAGATGGTCATCTCATGGTCCAGAATGCTCCTCGGTCGCCCTCTTCAGAACGTGGTGGGCATCGTCATCGCGCCCTGCTACGGCGTCCCCGCACGGGACTTCGCGGCCATCCAGGCGAGGTCGGCCATTCGCCGCATGGGTTGGAACGATGGCAACGATGGAACGGAGCGTGAACACATGGAACCCATGTTTAAAAACTCTAAACAGAGGTCTTTTAGAACTGCAAGTTGCTTTAATTGCAAGTTTCTATCGTGTTTTGTTGCCCGCTAAATTGCGGCTAGCCAGGTTGATTGAGATTTGGAAGAACAACGCGGTTCACTGATGGTTGTTTTTTTGCAGGCCAACTGCGAACACACTGGGCCTGCTTAGACGCGGTTTTACAAGAGGCGACAAAACTTTGATGCTGCGGGGTCCAATCGCGATGGTGCCCCCCCCCTCACATTGCTGCATATCTACAAAGGACATGCAAGATATTCAAGGACTCTATGTCATGGATGATACTCTGACAGTTGTATTGATTTACACAAGCCACGTCCCCAAAACCCCTGGGTGCATCTGATCGACGACACTTGAACAAGCCCGTGTCAATGTGCTACTCCATGCCAGGCTCTTTGTAAAGAGCGCGGCCTTTGGCTTTGCGAGGTGGGTTCATCGCTGGCGACGTGGGTAGGTTGATCGCTCGCCCAGGTGAGTTATATAGTTTGCATTTGATGCAGCTGCATGGGAAAACTCTGCCTAAGCCTTGACATATCCTGACGATTGATGACATTTCAACCCCCAAGCCTTGAGATGTGCTACCATCCAGGGATCTGGGGGTTGGAATATTTTTTTTGTGCTTTGCACACCACGACACCACCTTTCCTGGGTCCAACTACCCGGCCTTATTACAACACGAACCCAGACAGCAAGGTAGCAGGTGCAGCTGTGATGCTTGAAATATGCCTGGAGATGGAAGGTGTAATTCTACATGAGATCACCGCCATGCCAAGCAGCAGCAGCTCTGCCGGAATCGACCTGACGAACGAAGAGCCAAGCAGTCAACTGCGACGAACAAAGCTGGAGACCTGAGCACCTTTTCTTCGCGTGATTCGTGGGGAGGGGCAGGCAGGACTGAGACTCCTGTTGATTCTGGCGACAAGGACTCTCTGTGGGTCAAAACCGGGGGGTTGACCACTGTCCATGAACAGGATAGAGGCCAACCTACCGGTCATTAGGGGTCCAGGTTTTGACCCACAGCTATATATATGCGTGGCGGCTCGCGGCTCGCGCAAGTCTGCAGCTCCTCTTCAATCCGAAGCGCGGGTTCTAAATGGCGCACAGCCGCTGGAAGAAGCTGCAGCCATGTTTTGGGGGGGTTCAAGGTTGAAGTAAGCAATTCATTTTTTAAGTTGGCAAACATTGTCTACGCGAGACATGCACACGAGACATACATTGAGCTTGACAGTCTGGAAGACAGAGAGCAGCGTGGTGAGCACGCTGCTTCAAAGCAGGAAAGAACATGCAGCGTAGTGATGATGACATCCGAAGCCTCTGTGCAAGGACTTCGGCCACCCTAGTCTTGTAATTACTATAGGTGATGGCCTGTAAGTGCAAGTCAGGGTACTTATAGGTATCGTATTTTAAAGCTGTTGAATTACTCAACAACTTTTGCAAATATGTTTGAACTGCTTACGACAACTGCCGTATTTAACTTACAAGCTTCTTAGAACACTTGTTCTATTGCAAGTAAACGCCACAATTGTTTTTTGCTCTGGCAAACATTCTCATTTGACAGTCAGTGATTGTGTTGAAAGATGTTGAAATCATATATGTGTGTGTGAACCAAATATGTTTGACCTAGCACATGTACTATTTTTGGTAATTGCGCCTGTTGCTATGCAACAGCATTTTGATAAGACAAGGATGTATGATATTATGATGTCAGAAAGTGGCATTCGGCTGGCTCAAGCTCTGAGCAGGTCAATGACAAGTGTGGTACACATGGTGTACGCATGAACGTGGTATACACACCTGCACACATTCACTAGCAAGACTTAGTGACTAGTGTTCTTCAATCTGGGGTAGTTCATTGAATGCTATTGGCACTGATTGCCACAGTCTTCTGACACCGCGCGTGGTCTGTTGGTGTTGGTTTTCCCGACAAAAACGCGTCGGATGGGCCGCAGAGACCAGCTTTTGGTATGAGAGCAGCAACACAGAGCAGCCCCCGATCTCTGAACACAGACCGTTGGCAACAGCAGCAGATTGAAAACACACATATCTATATAACCATATATATATATATAAGATTGATATGTGGTGTGTAGTGTGTGGGAGCAAATTGCGCAGCAACATCAGCAGTTTGAGATGATGTTTGATGTCAAAAGAACGTGTTTGATCACACAGGGGGAGCAGGAAATGTTTTGGAAAAATCGGCGGCAGCTTTTGAAACAAACCATATAGACCACAGTCATATATTATCTTAAAACAACTCAACGTGTTTCAAAGTATTGTATTTTAAGCTTGGACAATTTAGACTACCCTTTTGAAACTGCTAAACACTTATGTTTGTTAAGTTGACTTGCAACCTTCTATGTATTGTATTCTTCATAACTAACTTGCAGGTGGTTTATCCGAAACGCAATCACCAAGTAGACTTGTGAGACCTTCTGTTGTGAGGCTTGCCCTCCTTGTGGGCACCTTCCGAGAGGGAAAAGCAGAGCCCAGCTCCAAATATTTTCTGGTCTTCTCGAACGTTTTCCTGCCTTCTTTTCTTTGGCGGTGCTTCCAGACTGACAGTACACTTCGAGGAGCCAGGGGTTTAAGAATAGGTTGTCAACATGTTTGCACAGAATACATGGCCAACAACCTGCTACTACGTAGTTATGAAGAGTTATGAGTTACAAGTTGCTAGTAATTTCTGTCATTGTATATTACACTTAGAGTTAACAAAACTAACAATTTGCTAAGGGCCATAACTTCAGCAGGCCTGTCATGCAACAACTACAGGCCTGTCATGCAGCATTTGCAGGCCTTTCATGCAGCCATTGGAGCCTGTCTTGCAAGCAGCACAAACGCCAATACAGGCCATCAAAACACCCCTTGAGAGGTCACCGTACTTACTTCTTACTGAGTGGCTGACCCCCACGATAGAACCTTAATATCCAGCCACCTTCAATCCTTGTGAGTCGCAGGAATTACTGTGGGTGTGAATCCAGAGACACCAACAGGGGGGTTTCTCGATTGATCAATGGAACATAATCTGGACATATTTTTACCATCAACATGGGTGTGTCTTATTGATCAGCGGCCTACGGCCTAAATCAATTTATGATTCTTCATGAGTCTAGACCCCCTTAAATATGGACTAGTAACAAGAACTAGTAACAAGGTGCATCGCTACGAACGTAACAAGGACGCTACTAGCAACTAGGGCGCTCCTGGCCTTACTAGGAACAAAGAGCTACTAGTAACAAGGTGCGACCCATGACATTCCATCCAAAAGCGAAAACACCGGTCGTTCGCCCTTCACCGTCCCTCCGTTCACCCCGACTTCGACGGTGTCAGGATGCCTGTGAGTCCTATGGAGCCAGCTGCAACGCGCGAGGGCCCAGGAGGTGAAGAGGATCGATGGAAAATTCCCAGGTGCTCTGTCACCGTCCTGCAAGCGTGGAGGAAGTCAAGCATGGGCGAAGCAAAGCATGCTTTGAGGAAGTAAGAGTCATTAGAACATTGATAGATTGATTCGTTGATTGATAAGCGTGATGTACTCCTTCTGCAGAAGTAGTTCCAAGCAGGATGGATCATTTGGCATATTCACAAGCATGACTCGCAGCATGACCACTGCTTTGTACGTGAGATTTAGTGCAAATCATTGGTAAACTTTGCTAGGCAAGTGAAGAAGCTCATCAAACCCTGGGGGGTCCATTCAGGGTCAAGCCGGTGGGTCTTCACATTTGTTCCTTGCTGGTCTGCGGGGCTGCGGCGTGGGTGCCGGAAGTCTCAAAGCAGCCAAACAGCACGCTCGTTGGCCGCGACCTTCAACGAAGACAATTTGTCCCATGCAATGCACACCTGCTACTTACTGTACCAACCCCCCCACCTCGACCATGACTATTTCATTGACCCTCCTACCATTAGCCTGAGATAGCCCAAGCCTCAAAATATGTTCCAAACTTAAACACGAAAAATCAGGGCATCACTACTAGCATGAAAGGGCATTACAACTAGGAGCGTTCGGACGCTACTAGCAACTAGGGCGCTCCTGGCTTTACTAGGAACAAGGACGCTGTCCCAGACACTCTGTGTATGCCATATATGCCTACATTGACCCCCCAAACCACCCCAATGTAGGCATATATGGCATACATGGAGTGTCTGGGTATTGGATCCAGAAAGCCTCGTCCATCGCCCCAGTTCGCTCCTTGGTCCTGCTCCCCAGGTGCGCGGTTTCAAGGTCCCCGTCGGTTCTCTGGCGACTCTCTCTGTCGTCTCGGTGCCGGGAAGCCCAAACCTCTGTCGTCAGATGGGAAGGACATAAGACTAGTCCATAAGACTACATAAGACTAGTCCACTGAATCCACTGAAGAGTAGACTAAATCTATAAGACTACTAGCATCGTCTTGCTCCAGAGCGAGCAGGCGACGTAAGTTAGTCGCTTTGGATCGAGCATCCGATGTATGAAAAGAGTTCGATATCAGAAATGCTTGTGTCCTGCAAGATCGGATCCATGCATGGTGAAGCCGGGGAAACCAGAGGTTTCCCTCCGCATGAGAAGGCCGTTAGAACCTTGCGGACGGGTAGTCAAAGCCACCAGGCCTTCTAGTTGTTGGTGTTCAATCTCCATCTCTTAGGAAGAATCTTATCATGGCCCCAACATAGATCATTTTGGCAAATTTGCCTTAAGAATGCTTTCAACGTTCGACTGCTCCAGTGCTTAAGACCTCCAGCGACCCTTCTGCACCGCTAGCGGTGCTTTCCTCCCTCGGCGCCAAAGAGGCGTTCGGAGAAGATGATCGGCGTGGGGGAGGCGCCGGGACCTCGCGCGCGCGCCGGGCGACCTGCGACGGGCAATCTATGGGTCAACAAGAATCAGCAAAATCAACCGGAACATGTTTGAGTCGTCTTTAAGTATTTCTTGGAATTCCATCGGAAGACCCAGGGCGTGTCGTTGATGAATTCTGCGCCTTCATGACATGTAGCATTTCTTTTGCAATGACACGTGGCGCGAGCAGTGGTTACAGGATGTTACAGGTGGTGTTCGTGCGATGAAATCAGCGGAAGGCTGGAATCTGCAACGAAGAGGTGTAGACATAAAGGGTGTGAAGTGCTGTGGAGCTCTGCGAATCCTCTCAGCTTCGCTTTGAGAAGATGCGACAGGTTTTGGGTTCAGTGGTTCTTGCAAGACATGCATCATGCATACATATGGTATAGACTAGATAATTGGAGAGACTCCCCCATGTATGATATGTATGGGGAGCCTCCCTATTTCAATACGGACATGGTCAAGGCCTTGATCCTGCAATCCTTATCCATCCTTATCCAGGACCTTTACTTACACAGCAGGTTCTTTAGGTTTCTTGTGAAGAATTACAAGAATCATAGCATTCAGTTCACGTTGAGCACATTGTTGGCATGTGTCATGCATTCAACAAACACCACGTGAGCAGCGTCACGCAGAGTCTGATGCGAAGAAAAAGAGCACAAACGATTGACAACGCAGGCACAGCTCTGCCTGCAGTGACCCCCGAAACCCACTGTAGGTAAATATGCCAGTCCGGTCATGTCTGGGTACAACGGTACAACAGAAGTTGTTTCTTCTCCAAGCCCTTTTCCTTCTCCAACGCTGCGAAAATCGTCAGGGTGGCGCCATTTTGGGCAACGACGCCACACTGGTGGCGCGCGCCAAGTGGTGGTGCTCGCGGGCACCCTGCCGTGGTTCGGGCGCCCGGGCGAGGTCGGCGACGTGACTTGGGCAGGTCGTTTGGTGGTGGAACCCCCAGGCAAGTGCTGGTGCGAAGAGCTCCTTTTTGGGGGTGTCCATTTTTACAGGATTCTTTGGGAACCTGTTGGGGAACTTGGGGGAGTCAGTACCACTGGTTTACGTAGAGGAGAAAGCGCCTTGTTTGAGGTGTCCAGTATTTGGGGTCCATTTCATGAACTGGGAGGACTCGCGGGTGATGCTGGTACAGGTGTTCCAAGGATGGTCAGGCATCAAGGCTGGTGGTTTTCAGGCTTCAGAATCTAGCTAAGTGGACTAATCATTGAAGTGGACAACCACCTGTTTGTAGAGGAAAATGGTCATCCAAGGGGCCATATTCCACTTCCACGATTATTCCAGGATATTCCAGGGAGTTTAGATGACAATGATCAGGGATGGTCAGAGTCAACCTTGGTGTGGGAAACAGTTTACCACCGACACCCTCTGGTCTGATTCTCAATCAACTCTCACGAGATAAATGGAGGATCTGTATGAACAACCATCCCTTCTCTAAGGCCCACCTGACTGGGCTACGGACACCACGACCGAACCTGCTCACCCACGGAGAACAGGCCGCCAGAAGCTCATCCGTCGTCCCGTTCCCAGCCAAAACGGTCCCGTTCCCTTTCTTTCTGCCGAGCCGCTCATGCCGAGAGGTGTGGGCTTGTGGCGGGTCTACGAGCACGACGCAGTGGGTCAGAACTTTCGGATGCCGGAGATGCCCGGTGCCACAAGAGGAGGTGCCACAAGAGGAGGTGGCTGGCTGGCAGGTTAGTTTGGCATATGGGGGGTGGCCACAAGATTAGTTGATGGTGGCTTGAACCATCTTGCACATGTTCATGTTTAAGAGTATCAACGATCTTTGAGTTCAAGGTTCTGGGCCGTCTTTCAAGGGCATGTTTTTGCGGGGTTTCTCAGTTACTCACTTGCTCCAGATTCACAACAGCTATTTGAATAAAACCGCGTGTAATTAAACTATATATGTACGCGGAGAATCGTGGTAAGGGTTCCTCCAAAATAGACTCCACATTGAGAGGAAGAAAGAGCTCGGCGGACGTGCCCAGACCTGCCCAGATTCGACCAGGCTTCAGCATCTTTGGGTCCGGGCTTATATACGACTTAGATCTCAAAACTAAGCTCCTCAGGAACCACGTGCTGTGAGCTCCGTCCGCGAGCTCGTACGAGCTGGAAGGAAACCCACCGTGCTGCTGCTTTCTTCTCAGTCTTATGAAGTTATGCTTTAGTCGAGTACGAAGGAAGATCCATGTTTCATTTGGACCTTTGTGTTTAGAACATGGGGGAAAGAATGAACCGATCTGAATTAAAGATCCACCTGGTTTCAACACAGCTGGCGTCGCGCAGCCGTTTTATCGGCCCAACGAAGTGGCCGTGTTCGTCCCGCGTTCGGTGCCCGCAGCGGCGTGGCAGCGAACGCGGGTGGCCAAGGTCGTTGTCCGCGTGTTTCACGCGGGCGACTCTGGTGATGAGTTCATGTTGGATAGAGAATGAGGTGTTCGTACATGCTAGTCATATTTAGTTATTGCAAGATATATTGCAATATGAACTTAGTAATTAGTTAGCTTACACTATGGACTTCATGGTTTGCACTTGCTGGATATAAACACCGAACTGCCGATCTTTGCTCCGTCCCACCTGCTCCGCTATGGCGCCCATCGCAGCTCGGGCACTTTCACTCGCGCTGCTCTCGCTCTCCTTGGCCCGCGCGGCGCGAGGTGGGCACCGCGTGGGGGCGATGGAAGGAACGGCGTCCGGTGGAGCCTGGTAGAGCTGCTGGTTCCTGGCCCTGGAGGAAGTACCAGCTAAGCTGGCCGTCGGCGCAGGCAGTGCGTACTACTCAGTACGCGTGCCAAGCGCTCGATTGTTGGGAGTTTTTTTTCCCGTTGGGGGGTGGTGAGACGAAGAACACGTCGCTGAGACATCCTGAGATTACGGGTTTGAAGCGGTATTTAGACTCCTAAACATGGATGGTTTGCCAGCTGCTGAACTGAGGGAAGACGAGGACTAATTCCTTTTCATTCCGTTTATTCTTGTTCATTTCCGTGTGACGTTCTCGGAGGGTAACCCAGGGGACAAAGGTCGAAAAGGTCTGGTTCCACGGTAGACGGGTCAGTTGATTCTAAATTTGAGGTGCTCCCATATCCATGCATGTATACTTGATAAGTGGAGAAAGGATCCAAGTGCTCCAACTAAACCCCATTTTATCCACTGTTGGTTAAGCCAAGGTGAACATGATGAGACCATTGAACACAACGAAGAATTCAGGCTACGTGATAGATATTATATGAATTAACCCACCTTGATTGTTTTATTGTTTTTAGGGGCGTGTCACTGGCAACTGCGTGCAATCAAAGGGAGTCACATAAATCACGTGAAGTATTTCGGCAAACTAGTCCATGCATTCATGGTGCAAGTAATGACTATTAAATTATATGAACAAACATATCTCTGCATGCATCAGTCTTCGCTTTAAATAGAGAGAACACGGAGAACAGTGAGCCCCCTTACATACTGTTTCTTGATACTATATGTAGTAGATTGTAGTAGTGTTCGGCTGTCATTTTTGGCGTCGCTCCGGGTGTCGCACGAGTCTTGGCGTCGCATCTTCTGTCAGGACCGCTTTGCTCCTGCGATTGCTGTGGCGTTGCACGCCGCCGCGCTGATGAGCGCACGGATCCGTACGAAGGTCGAGGGCTACTCGTGGCCACTCATGGCTTCCTGGGGTTGACCGGGTGACTGTGTCCGTATATATGTTCCCTATGGGTGAATCATGGGGAAGATGTTAGTTTTTTTGTCTTCAGTTTCTTAAGCAAATCCAAGGTTTCCAGCAACCAGACAGATTTCACATCCATCCACCCATTCCATCCTTATCAACCAACCTTGAAAGAATGGACTTACGGAGTAGGAAGTACCTGCAGGCCGCAGCGATACATACTTGGATACCACTGCTATTAAACAAACAAAACATGTTCCCAAATCCTGCAGCGGCACCCCAGGCAGGCCATAAGTTTCTGCAAGCACCATGTTGCTCATCCCCATTCCACAATAAGCAAATCAATTCGTGAACAATCATCTCCAATCTCATGACCGCAAAGCGCACACCGCACCACCGCACCACCGCATCCGCACCACCGCACCATGCAGCGAGCGAAATCGGTCGGTGTTCGTTCTCCAGCGAAACCCGTCGGCCGACCGAGGGTCGGACGACCGCGATCAGCGGGTCAAGAGCCGTGGGTCAAGAGGTGCTCTTGGATCCTAAGAGTTCTTCGGAGTGCAGTCTCTATATAAGTACCTCAGAGAATGGGTACAAGTATACCTGTTTTTGATAGGGGACATGGTTTCGGAGGGGTATTTGGAGGGTCCAGGTATATGTGTGTTCCCGGTTTGTTGAGCAAATCCAAGTTGTTGTTATCTAGTTTCCATGGCCGTCCAACGTCCAGTCGCTGAAACGCCAGGGATGAAGTGTGCACCCGCAGAGGGCCACAGCCCAGAGCTCTGCGGCAGCCAATGTCGACCCTCCAAGGAGGCGTGGAGCAGGGCTGCTGGTGGGTAGGTGGGTGCCCTTGCATTGTACATACTAGTAGAGCACAATAGGAGGAGCCATTTAGGGACATAGCGTTTGTAGACATGGCTTTTGGGGACATATCTGCTTGGGAAGAATGGTTTGCTATTGCCACAAGAGAAAGCTGACTGATACCCATTGGAAAGTGATGACCAACGTGGTGATTTTCCGGTGATGACCAACCTGGTTGTCCAAACGATGTGCCTCCGGTCCGTAGGTCTTCCATGGTGTTCCCAGCATCACAGATCCCAGACAGGCACGATAACAGGTAAGCAGTACTCAGTAGACTAAACCCTGATCAAAAGCCCTGATTCCTTTGAACATAGCCCTTAAGGACCCAACACCATGGTTCAAAATCCTGGTTTCGTAGTAGCCAGTGTGAAACCCTGGTTTCCTGGTCAAACCTGGTCCGACTCGCAGGTTTTAGGCTTCCTGGCCAAGGAGGAGCTCTTGGACTCTGCACGCTTTTGCTTCTATGCCACTTGGGCCGTTGAAGGATCAGACCGAAGAGCTGGCCATGGAAGGGCCCGGACGATCCAGGCCGGAACTCGAGGCCCGGACGATTTGACCCCTTCACGCACTCAGCAATCGAAGTGGATCACTGGACTCAGCATGTTTTTGGAAGCCTAGGAGACTCAAAGTTATCAAATCAGAGGATGATGAAGTTGAGTGGAGCAAATTTGTTGGATGATGAAGGGTCCCTTTGTTGTAATATGTTGTATTGAATTACTTCCCCGACCCTACGGTCTTTTGGCCGTGGGAGCCGGACCTTCGCCATCGGACTATTCCCACCACCTGAGGCATTGGCTAGCCTTGCTGCCATTCTGCTCTCTTTGACGTGTGAATGGCAAACACTCCCATTGATGTTCACAAATGAATCCCTTACATGCCATATCCGCCATAATTCCTTGTATCAGAAGTTCAGGATATTTAATATCCCATAGATCGATCTGCAACAACATGTATATCAGTGCTTGCACTTGTTGGCTAAGCCTGAGACATCCTTTTCATTCATCGAAGCATTTCTTTCGACAAGTGCCAGTATGGCCCGAACCACAGATATTTGCAGGGGTTCACAGTCGGTCATTGACCCTAAAGGGTGGGCTCACAGTGGGTGGAGGCTTCGGTTGAACGGTGCCTAGATGCTGGATTGGGGCAGTGGGGCACCCCCTCTGGCTGCGTGGCTGATTTCTGTAGTGCTTGTGGTTGGATCTCGGACGCAGTGACTCTGGATGTGGTGCCTCATCGACCCCAACGGTTTGAAGCGGACATAGGAGGTGTGCTGACCGCCGAAACTGTCGAGGCCAATGTTCAAGGTACGATGATCGAGCAGCCACGACATTGGGGGTGGTCAATTGATAATTGACACATGTTCAGATGATCGTCTTGATTTTGTATTGTATTTGGCTGTTGTATATCCATCCGAACTCTGTGGATATAAAATACATGATATAAATGTATATATACATATAGACATGAATATATAATAATATTATTTATCTATTTATGTTACATGTTCCTTCAATTGATTCATGTTTGTCATTTTCGATTCTGGAGACTTGTTCATCCTTGAGCTGGGGAGCGTTGTTCTGGCGGTGTTCATCGGTTCAGCCGGCCCTAGGAGTGCAAGCCTCCGTTTGGTGCTGCCTTGGCCGCGCAATGTTTGCCCCTGAAAGCCTCCGAGCTGAAAGAGGCCCCAGAGCGCGGAGCGGCGTTTCGAGCGGCTTTTTGGAGGGGCCTGGGAGGTCAAGGAGGTGTCTTGACAATTGAGGCATTCGATCTTGCTGGGTACCCTGCTGCCCGGCCGACGGCTCCCAGGCGCTGGACAGCGATGGCAACGCCATGGATCCGGCCTTCCTCTACGCGCGCCGCGACGCTTCGTCCACGGCGCTCGCTGCCGAGCCGGTGGACGAAGCGGACGCCGACGACGGCAAGGCTAGGAGGGGGCGACAGCGGGCGAGGTCGAAACATGAATGAACCGTGTCAACGACTCAACGACGAATTATCCTTGTGTCGCAATCGGGTGGTGAACTGGAGCCCTGTTGAACTGGCGGAGGGCCCCTTACCTGCGGGACAGTCCATGTTTGATGGTCGAAGAGCCCTTGAACTCAGGCCAAGAAGCTGGCTTTGAAAGGCCGAA